TGAGAGCAAGCGGACTCTTGGCCAGCCGGCCTGGCCATTGAATGCGGCCATTGAATGCATGGACGGTCGCCACACCCTGGCCAAAAAGGAGCAGTACTAATCTGAACCTTCCGGAGGAGACGGTCGAGCATCACCAGGCAAGGCTTGCTGCCGGAGTCCTTCCCACCAGTAGGATGACGAGCCCGAGAGTCCGCCCTGTATCTCCTTGTTGATCACTCGCTGCGGAGAGAACAGAAGGACTCACACTGCAAAGGGGTCCTGCAGGCGAACGGCGCATCTAGACACACGCACTACTGCGAGGTTCAATTCTGGGGTTTTCAGCAACCCACGATATGACCCACTCGATACAGGAACTGGCACGACAGTTTTAGCAATATTCTTCTGCATGTGACGTGCTCCCCGAGGGGATTTGTCAAGCTGCTCATCCAATCTTGACGCCTGGCTGAGGTAGCATGCCGACCTTGACAAGACCGAATCTGTGAGTGCACGGATCACTTGTGACCCGCAGTTCGAATCTGATCTGTGCATGCAAGGAAGCCTGTCCCGGAACAATGACAACAACGCTGGCGGGCTACCACACGTTGGCTGGTAAGTCCACACCAGGGCGGATAATCCCACTCACGGGGATAATACCATATGGGCTCATGGCTGTTACATACCATCATCTCTATACTAATTCATTCCAATGCTGGCGAAGCCGCCTGGGGAGATGCAACCGCCTGCAGGAGGTGGTGTCAATTGGTACGTAGATTTTGCCGTCAGTTCGAAACATCTGCTCCAGAAATTGAGAGCTGACGACCGAGTTTCCCTGATTCGGTATACCGTTTTCTGTTGTTTTGGAGTGCGCGACCTACTGCACCCTCTTTGTTCTTCACGCTTCTGACACTGCTCACTCGTTGGTGCGGGTCAGTGAAGGGAGTCGGAGGGATTGGCTTGTCCTGACGATCCCTGTAGACGAGGGTAGGCCAGGCCTAAATGATGCGGGTGTCGGAAACTCCAGGATTGAACCTCGATTAGTTGCGATCGGCCGCGGATGCACGTTTTGCATTGTAATGGCAAGCACACGCGCAGCCAGGGACTTTCTGTCGTATTGCTGGCCAATGTGGAAATTGCGCCGCGTCCGTATGCGAGGCGCGTTCAGCAGACTGGTCGCAGAGATATGTGTTCCCTGCAGTGCTGCATGTGCGCTCCTACAGGCTGGCCCATCCCTAGCGAGGAGCAGGAAGCTGGGAAAGTATTGCTTTTGAGGGCGCATCCTGCTATTCGTCAATGGACAAATGTTGCGGAAGAGTGGCATCTACCTATTATTGTCCTATACATTCGAGGGCAGAACTGGTGTGGTCGTCGGCAACGCAGCAGGCCCATCGTAAACGGACTCTACATTGTTATCGCTGCAGATATGGTGCTCCAAAGAATTGACTGTGCAGAAGTCCTTTCCAGGCCCCAATATCCTTTTTATCTACGAATACACACCGTCGCGTGATAGGTCGACCACTGCTTGACCCCTACAAACAAGACCCATGGCTATTTTCCCCCGGGAGCGAACCTACATGTGATTGAGGTGCCCTTGGGATCTTTGCATCAAGGTCTCAAGTGGGGCGGGTGTCCAAAACCACAAAATTGAACCTTGCATTAGTCTGCGGACTGTGCGTGCGAAAAGCTACGCCCAAGAGTGCAGTACTGCACATGCCCAGGTCTGTGCTCATTTCTTCAGAGCAGGACAAGCCGGAGTCCGCGCTAATTCGTGTCACCGTACTGGATCCACTGCCCGAGAATCCTGCTTGAACGGGGTGCCCTCTTGCCACCGAATCCTGAGCCCTGCCAATCCAAGCTCATGTGATGAGAAAACCGATGCAACGGTAAATTACAAGGGGAAGCCGACCTTCAGCAACAAAGAGGATGTCGAGAGGATCTTCCAGGTATTTTGAGCCGTTTTTGGCCGGAGCGATCTGATTCTGCTAACTCTTGCATCCTTTCAGTCGCAATACTCATAGTCAGGGCTAGTGGGGCGAAGTGTTCTCTGTATCTTGTGATCGTGACCATGAAAGACTTGGACTTTGTATTTTATGCTACTAGGGTCCACCTCACTCTCGTTTATCTGGCTTGCTTGCCGACATTAATGTTGCGTTCGCAAAGTATGAAAGCTGTAGGAAAGCCATGGATCAGGTCTCGGCACGACACGAGGACCGGTCTCTATGGTTTTTGTGTACAAGGTCTTCCATCAATCATTCTCGGCTCGGTGCAAACCCCATACTCGGGACAATGTTGCGCCACCAGTTTCAATTCCGCGGTACGAAAAGGTATTGTAGTCGTGAACGTGAATAAATTCAAGAATCTGCAAGTGCGCAGAAACTACTTTCCAGATATTATTTACAATATTTCAGAAGCCCCGACCTTTTTTCCCACGAAGGGCTCAACTTGTAGGACGCAAGAGGTGCGGAGATGGTGTCACACGGAAGGAAACACACTAGCCCTTGTAACACATAGAGAGAAGCGCTCCAAAGGACAGCCATGGGAATGACCAAACCCGGTGCCAAACTGATCCGGGGACCGGTGTTTGAGCGCGATAGCTACGATGGACTTTCAGCGCCCTATTGTGTTCATCTAGTGGAAAACTTGGCCACTGGACTTCATCGCTGGCATCTTGGGGAGGGCTGCATTTCAGTGTCACTTATCGTTGACCATCTCCAAACGAATGTCAGTGCATCCCGTTTCGATGTGAGGAGCTCGTGACATTCGTGCCAGCCGTATGCAAGCTCTCATAAGTACATCGGATTGGAGGTTCCTGCTTCTCTGCCGACTGCCGCCAAAACATCATACCAGGAGTCTCCCTAAGCGCGAGATTAGGTTGCGGACATACGCACAAAGCGAGGATGAATTTTGAGATTTTCGACGCCAGCTTTAGATCATGCCCGAATCACCCTATGCAGGAATTCACACACATTCTGGTGGAAGAGAAGGGAGGGATAGATGCTCAGAGTAGATTCTTTTACGGACGTCGACATCGCAATTCGGAAGTCTGTCCGCCAGCGTCGGACGGTCTGTCGACCTCAAGCGCGGGTAGCACTCCATATTCACCTCGCGTATCACGGCACACGTCAAGCACTTGATCCCGATTTATGTGCATTTCCGCCTGACTCTAAGTGTACTAATCGGGACGACAACCATAGGTGCCAATGGAACGAACAAGCCGGCAGTAGCCTCTATTGTACATCACTACGTAGCCGCGACCCTCATAGAAGGTGCCTCGTCAACCCATGCATAGCAGCCATATGTAGAGTTCACATGCACCGTCCGGGCCACCTCCCTGCTCAGAGACCTGCTAAGGCAACGACTCTTGATGTACAGCAACCGAATCGACTTGCGTATCTGGAGTCGACTCCACTTCACCGAGCCCGTGCGGTATATTGCAGTTTATCACGCGGTCCCCTCTTCGAAGAGGTGTCAGCATAACAACAAAGCGGAGGTGTGGTTTTTCGAGGCTGGAAGCTTACATATTGATAGCCCGAAGCTGGAATTCCAATGGCTGATGTGACTTGATCCAGATCATGCACTTTCCGTCCTGCCCGAGGAAAAGACTTGAAGATTGGGTGGCCTGGTGCGGCCGTGAGGTGGGGTTTGACGCTGTCAGGCTCGGTGCATCCATGATCTGTTCCGAGTGTTTGACGCCTTCGACCCACGAGCTCACACGCTCGAACCAGCGGTGCCAGATATCTGATCCACGGGACTGATCACAGTCCTCGATATGGCCTAGGTTAGAACTCAACTCTCTCTTGGCTGGCCCATCTACACAAACGGCAATCACAACCTCATCCAGGTCGGTGAAATCGGTGCACACTGTTTCGGGCGTTCGAATAGATGCTGTTGACAGAGATTGGGCCATGCCGGGCGCGATTATCTGCGAAAGAGCGAGTCTGATGTCGAGCTTTGCGAATCCGATGGGGTGCCGGCGAACTTGCTTGTCCGTCGACCGCTTTACGTTCCTTATATGCTGGAGGAGCTCTGGTCTCACAGATGTTTGTCTTGTAAACAATCCTGTAAAAGAAATGAAAACTCCGATGCATGTCGCCGAGGAGATCAATCACCCTGGTCACCGGCTGAGCTTCAATGCTACCTTTTTGCTGCAAGCCCAAGGTGTGATAATGGCAATCACGCGTACTCGTGTTTGAATGTGCGCTCCTTGCGCAAGGTTTGTCCGGAGGCCTGCTCGCCAATAGATCTCTCTGTCATTGAAAATATCGATGAGCCGTACGTACAATTAAGAGTTGGAGCGATACCACATTGTGGCTGTCAGAATCACACCTCATCCGCTTCTCCATAATCAACCGACAATATTCTGACATGTTCGAAACTTCCATCTCAAGGTCCAAAGAATTCATGGAGCATTGTTGGGCATTGTGGACTAGGCACACACCGTCGAGTTTCTATGAATTGGATGTTCTTTACCAACGCGTTACAAGATTAAAACCAAAAGCGTTCGAGCCACACTCGCTGTGCATCTATAGCTTTATGTATGAAGAAAAGCAATCGAGGTCTTCCATCGTGCCCACACGTCTGGTAGCTGGAGACGCCCTGTTGCCTCTGATCAAGTATAAAAGTGGAGCCAAATTGCACAGATCTTCACATGATTACTGAATGTCGACAGACCAAGAGAGCCAATGTAAAATGAGGATCAGTTGTTGTAGATTTTGGAAAGTCGTGTCAGCAAAAGGTGCATTTTCAAGGTAGAGGTCGGACCAGATGAGTGCCATAAGAATGAGTTAGGGATATATCACAGAACCCAGCACGACGGAAGTTTTCCCTAGTAGTTCTGCCTGCTTGGAAGATTATTTCATCTACACAATGTTTGCTCCCCGTCCACATACGCGCCGCTTCGGCAAGCAGCATAGGCCGTTGCCGATGGGCTTAGAAACTCGAAGGCTTTCAGGTTCCCGAGACCTAAGCGAACGAGTCTTTTCGTCCTGGGCGGCTCATGTGCTGACTAAAAAGGAGCGGAGGCCTGGGTGCAGCGGCCGGTTGAGTGCCCTCACCTCAGTGAAGCAATACACATACATGCTCCCTCGCACGTCAGATCGTGAACACGCTCCCTCAATACTTCGAATGCTTCAAAGATATCCCGCCCAATTTGGGCATATATAACGTAATAACACAGCATCGAGAGTCCGAGGACCATGTTAGGGTGCTCGAGAACGCCCGAAGGAAGAGAGAGAGTGACGGAATCAAGTGAGCCAACTTGCACGGTGCATTAGGGAGGTAATGATAATTTGATCAGCTAGCTACCTGAGGTCGGGAACCAACTATCCCCGTCTTTAAGACGTGATTTGAGATCGGTGGCCCAAAAGATGGTAGGAAACTGGGGCATGATGGAGGCAGCTTTCCTCCCTCAGATCCCAGTGGGCAGGGTTCGCCTTGAGCAAATTTCACATGAGGGGAAGATGCTTCGCACATTTCTCTGACGTTGGTCCTGCCGCACCGGCCATAGCCCAGTGCCAGGGGCTGAAAGACGTTGATCGAGCATCGGTATAAGACGAATGCAGGCTGGGGCCTCTGCAGGCATCCGCTTTGCGGGCCCCATTTTTTTAATATTCGCAAGGTCCAGATCCGGGGGGGGGGGGGGAGTGGGAGCTCCTGCCAAGCCTGGGAATGTCGTATTGCTGGTCCGCTGCAGGAGCTCCTCGAGGATGGTCGCACTGACGCGTGGAAGACACAGGCGGGCCCAAGCGACGCGACTGTCAAAAATTCCATATCTGAACCTCGCATTAGTGCTGACGTACGATGGTGAACAGTTTGCGTTGGATTTGCGCTAATGCCTGCAGTGCTCTATTTGGCATGATATAGATTTCTCACGGTAGACATGTGCGACTGGCATGCGACTGGCAGCAATTTCGCAGTCTGTCAAAAATCCCTGCAATGGTCCTTTCGCCCGTATCAGGTAGGACGGCGGCGGTGACAACTGTCGCACAACCCCCCTTTCTCCCATATTTTCAACAGTGAGGTGCGCCCTGCAAATCTCAGAAAGCAGGCCATTTGGCACCGACGTCGCGGCCAGAGACTGGCAGTCGTCGCCTGGCGCACTGCGTCCCCGCGTGGAATTATTGGTTGCGCTCGATGATGGGGAGCTCGTTTCCACATTGTTAGAGCCACCTTGTGGTTGTTTTATTTCTATTGCGAAACGGCGCACAAGTGAACAGAGATCAGTTCGGTCCAAGAGCGTTTTCATTAGGAGCCAACGTGGTCTGTCAGGACGCCCCTCGTGATTGATGCACCATATCGGAAAGTGCTTAAAGAAGGATTTCTTGTGAGGACAAGGCGGTGGTCTGTTGCCGCAGAGTTGGTAGGAAGTAGGCGATATAGGATCGCTTACGTCCCATTTATGTTGACGGCAGCTCTGAATCGCAGACCTGAAAAGCGATTCTCGCGCCGCAGTCGAAGAAAAGGGTGAGAACACCATTTTGGTGCACCTCGATGAATTTCTCGCAATGCATGACGGAAGTACATGTACCTCACGAAGACACGAGAATGAGACAAGCTCTAGCCGATTCCTGAAGCTTTCAGTCGTCGCAATCTAGTCACCGGCTCGTTGCGATGAGAAGGACAGCTCGTTGTGAAGTATTTGGCTTCCTCAACGCAGGCTACATGATTACACGCGGTTTTCTACAAGGACAACCAATAATTTTCGTCAAGCACCCGAAGCGAAGCGAAGCTTCTCGAAATTATGACGGTCTTCTCTGTGATGCATACATTTCTGTCCGGCGTGGCCAGCTCCTCCCGTCGGCCTTGCTTCAGGTACATCAATGCCAGCCCGGCCATGCTGGTGGAAATGGATGCATGGGCGGGCCCGAGTTTCTGTTTCTCGAAAACGATGAACCCGAGGTCGAAGATGTGTTCGGCGCCGCCTTTGCTCAACGCATACGTGGACGGTCGAGGCAACGTGCAACCGCTAACCCGGCCTCAAAGGATGTTCTCCCGGCCACTACCAGATCAATTTCTTGGCTATTTAAACAGCCACAGATTGCACGGTCTTCCAACCGTTTGCCAGCAACTCAGGATGCTTCTGTAAAGTCCTCATCACCACAATTCCCCCTACGCCTATCGCGGTAGCAGTCAACAGCAGCGTCGCTGGTGAGAGAGCAATGGACTTCTCTTTCTCAATTGGCTTCTCCTCGTCGTCGTACTTGACCGTGTGTGGGACAGTAGGAAGATCCCATCCCTGGAGCGCATCGCCGCCTCGGATCACCGTAGTGGCGCTGTTGGCCTGCATAAAATTTGGAAGGATCGGTACGAGACCTTTGTAGAGGAGCTTCTTGTATCCGTTGCTCCATCCCATCATGTTCATAGCCTCCTCAGACGCTTCAACAGCCGATTTCACCTTCTCGAATCGCTTTTCGGCTAACTTCGTGAATGCCTCATTCAGGTTGGCCACGTCCCAGACTTGCGAGGTCTTGAGCTTGTCGCCTAGAGTTTCTTGCAGGCAATTAATAAGTGTAGCTGCTGAGACTAAGCAATTCATACCGCCATGGCCGGGAAGCGGGTTGAACTTGTGCGAGGAGCTGTGCCAGCGTAAGTGAATGATATATTGCAAATCTATCCTGATCAGACAAATGGAGAAGGGAAGTATGTAAAAAGAGACATCCGCGGTGTCCAAGATTGAGAAGAATCACGACTCACTCTCCAACAACCACGATGCGGCCATAGTGCCACTTCTTCAACACAAAATGGGGTAAAGCCGTGATACCGGAATGGGCCGGGTGTACCTGGCTGTATAGCTGGTCGAAGTCTATATGCAGGCCATTGTTCCTTGGTACTTCAGCGAGAAGGCTTTTGCCACGAGTAATCTCTCTCTCGTAATCTTCTTCAGTGAACCGGGGTATGGTGTTGTAGGTGACCTTGCGGGCTTTTCTGGAGAGCTTGAAGAACCAGAAGGTGCTGTAGTGAATCGATGGTTAATTGGAATACGTCGAAACTGATGGGCCCACTGCAAATCGGGTGTGGCACATTAAGCAAACTTACAAACAACGGCCATCTTTGCCGAGCAGCCATGCTGCATTGAACCCGTCACCTGAGACGCTGCCAACTTGACCGCGGGGCAATGAAGCTCCGTACTCGGATACACCAAAGCACGTCGCCCAATCACAGATAAATTCTGTTGATGCAGGTGAGTACAGTGTGTAGGCAATGGAGTGACTGTGATAAGGCGGACACGGCCTTTTTACACCAACCTTTCTTGTCCTCCTCAGGAACAGCACCTGCCACCTCGGCATTCCTCCACATCTCCTTACGGACTGTGGACCGCACGCCATCGGCGCCGATGACCACCTGTGCCTCGAAGAAATGTCCTGCCGAAGTGTGTACGATCGCTTTGTCCTCTAAGCCATCAACATGAGTAATTTGCTGATTGACGAGAAGCCGCTCTTTCTCGCGGATATGCTTGTGCAGTACGCAAAGCAAATCGTAACGGTTAAAGAATCCGATCTCATAGCCGTGCCGCTCTTTCAAAATTGCTGTCGTCTCAATGATATGCAATTTACCTCTATAAAATGATTATTCAATTGTCAATTATTTCTAAAGATAAATCCATTGTGTTCTGATCCGACCAGTAAAGCGATTCAGTCTGGATCTGTACTCACGTCTCTGCGTCCCCACTTAACATTTGGCCAACGGGTTGGTAGATAGCCTCGACGTCTTCAAGAATTCCCAGCTGGTGGAAAATACGGAGCCCTTGAGGCTGGATAGCAAGGCTGGCTCCCACATTGGGAGTACAGCTACCGTGGGCCTCGAGCAGGAGGTAATCGACGCCGAGATCTTGCAACATCAGCGCAAGAGTGAGACCGGTGAGGCCGCTCCCGACGACAATGACTGTGGTCTTGCATTGTTCTGTTGCCATTGTTCGAGCTCAAATGATGAGAGAATTGTAATCAGAAAAGACTGAGCAATTGAAGAGGACTTTTGCAGTATGCAAGTTGAATCAAGGTATGATGTCGACGTGGAAACTTGTTTATAGAGATGCTTGAATACTTGAGATGTGTGAAGAAAAAAGCTTGAATTGAAGAAGAGTTTTTCTGTTAGGGAAGAAATATGTTGATTGAAGCAGAAAGCTGCAGGTACAGAGCGTGGCACATGGCATAATTAAAGAGAAATACTATTTGTGCATCTGCAGGTAATTTGATCCAGTCACTCCGATCAGACTACAAACTTGCTTGGGTTCCGGTAGAGTAGCAACAGGGGAACCAGTTATTTTGTCTCGGTCAAGTGTCTGTCGATCTGATTGGCTAGCTTGTCCAATCTCTTCCCCACGGTACCAACCTGGCCTCCACGAGCCATGATTGACCCCGCACGCGGACAATCAGTCATTCGATGGTGAGTGAACTAGAAGATGATTGATTCGACTCCAGTGAGCCAGGGCTCGAGGGCAGGGCCAACGTCCCACCTTCAGGCTCGTCAACTTCAATCACTCACCAATTACTTCACAATTCTTTCACTCGAAGGACCAATGACTAGCACGACTGGTCGCGGGCTGATGAACAAGCAAGCACCCAATCATAATTGAAGGGCACGTGTGAGCAACTAGAGCTAGACTCGGAATGTGATTCGCCTTTATGCCAAGAGTCTCCTTCGTTGTTTCACCTTCTAGACGTCTGCAGCCGCACTGAAATCTCGAAGATTACCCAAAATGGTGACCATCTCAATGTCGCGCCCCGAGCAGCGAGCCTCTTCGGCGGGCCCCCCCCCATGTCCCGACGCGCCGTCAAACCGACCTCTGCCGGCTTTATCTAAGCTTGAGGGACAGGTAGTACGCAAGTGACCAGAGAGATAATTAATGACAAGGAGAAGGGGAAGCGGCCAGCTGGTGAAATAAGTGGTGGTGCTGAGGGGCCGGTCCGCAGCGGACCGGCTGTGCGGCGCTGTGGCGTGTGTGGAAAACCCCGGCATAATGCGCGAACTTATGACAAAGAGGTAATATCGTCTGCAAATTCAGACTACGATTGAAGTCAATTGATTTTCTTTGTTGCGGTGTTGCAATTCAAGTTGTTGTGCTGTTGGTGCTGAAAAGTGTCTCGCTCGCTGGGGTAGCTCGCTTGTTGGTGTTTGACGTTAATAGCAATAAGGCCGCTTATACAATTCAAAATGCCAGGGTTGAACATAGACTTATATCCATACTTATTATTCCTCAGGATTTGATTTAGTTTGCCATAATAAATGAGTGAGAAGCCATATATAGTTAGACTTGAGTTTACATCACAGCATGGCCAGCTCGGCAATGCCCGCAGCGTAACACGCCCCTTTGATTTCGAACCTGACGAAGCTAAGGACTCTGCGACCCGGCCAGGCCGCTTAGATCTGCTTTTTCAGGAGCATGAGCGCTTGATTAGCTGATCGTTGTTTTCGGGCCCCGAAGTGGTTGGTTGGAAGAAGTCCAAAGGTTTCGACTAGGTACGAGAGCCTCCCTGTGATCACTGATTCTATAACCTTGCTAAGCCTCGCTAGCGGGGACATTGGCGTCCAGGCTTTTGCTACGGTCTAGTCGTCCTTGGCCGGCTTCTTCAGCGGAAAAATCTTCCCGTGCCTCCATTGGTCGGGCAGTCTTCCTTCCTCTAACGACGTGCGGAACAGAGCCAAGACCCGGTGGTTGACCACGGGCCAGGTCTCCTTCCAGACGGCTGCTGGTAGGCCGTCTTCGCCGGCTGCTTTCTATGAATTGGCTGCAGATAGCTGCCTCTCGATGTATTCCATCGTGATCACGCGCATCGTGAGAAGGAGCCTCTGCGGTCTGTCCACTTCATCGGCGATCACATGTCCGTGGAAACTTCGCCTGTTGATGTCAGAACTTGTGGACTTGAGAAATAATAATTCAAAAAAAAAAATCATTTTTGACATACACGATCGCGATCTCAGGGCTTGTATTGTCTTTCGTTTCAGGCGATTTTGAGATTTTTAAAATTGCCCCATAGGTGACGATTCGCTTCGGCAAAGCACCTTTTACACCGGCGATTAAAATTCGACGTAATCCTCAGAATCTCAAATCTGTTACTTAGTACCTGCCGGTAAAGTAGCCTCATCATTTTTGGTGGACATCTGAATTGATCAGTACTTTTACAATTGAGTAGTTGAATGGCACAGTATGGCCCTAGTTGGTAATGATTGACGTTGCAGTATCGCTGTTTGTTTGTTTGTTAGAACTATGAGTTGTCTGTCCTCCGGAGCAATTGTTGGCTTTCAAGTAGTCCCATAACGACAGTGACCTCGTCTGTGCGGATACGCAGTAAATTTCGGCAATCAATGGAACCTCATCCCCTTTCACGAGAAGTCCATGGCCTTCCAAGTCCTCGCATACTTTCCACGGTCGCCGTGGAGACCTTACCCGCTCGTTTCAGCGTCGGAGAGGACGAGGCAGCTCTCCGCCCTCGCACAGCGATTGCTCCGGCGACGGCGATGGAAAATATGGGAACGCCGCCGGCCAGTATCCGCTGCAGGCCCTTTCCGGGCTCTCGCTGGAACACTAACAGATTTACTAGGGTCGTCTATGCGTGCTAGCTGGCCATTACCGATTAGCAATTCCTTGGATGGACCTGCCGGTCAATATTGCACATTCTGGTGATCACCATCCACCACCTGTCATCGATGGGTCGCCATGGAAGCATTACAAAACAGCCTATGGGCTTGAAATGGGCGGTTACGTCGCCGTTGTCTGCAAGATCCCCGCTACAGACAGACTATTCTCAATGCACAGTATCTCCGGCCCCAGTCGGGCGCAAAAGGTCGACGTGCTCCGGAGCCTAAACCACGAGAATATCCTCCTGCCCGAGGAGATATTCACATACGAGGACTCAAGCTGCGCTATCACCGAGGCTGCGGCCATTTCCCTGGGAGATCTCGTGCTGGTCCGCCCAGACGAGACCCAGCTCGCTGCTATCGTAGGCCAGGTCCTGCGCGGCGTATGCTACCTTGCATCTCGGGGCTTGTCTCATGGATCGATCAGCCATGCGAATGTCCTTCTGACCACTAAAGGGATTGTCAAAATTGGTAAGCGCTGCACCAAAGTCTCACGAATCGCGAATGGTTGCTAACGCACGCTTGGAGCTGGTTGCGAGGGATGCTCTTCTGCTAGCGGAGAGACCCGGAAAGCTGATGCGCGAGCATTGGGAAGGGTCATGTGTTGGCTGATGGGCGATGAGACCGAGATCGCCCCGGGAGGTGACGAACCAGAAAAGAGCCCGCTCCGGCTGAAAGACCCTAAAAAGTGGTCGGCGGAAGCGGTCGATTTTCTGAGTCTCACCCTTAGCGTGTCGGTCCAGACGCTGGCGGAGGTGGGTCACTATCCCCTAGTCTCTTTCCGCGGATGTTGACGCCTGTCTAGCACCCGTTTTTGGAAAACCCTCTCCAGATCAACGAGCTGATCCCGTTAGTCGGATTGGCCCTCATTCCATCGTGCAGATTCTACGATTTGCAAAATAGTTTCATGCGGCCCAGCTCGAGAACTTAGGAAACCAACGCTAGTGGATATTCGACCTCAAAGCCAAGTGCGGGACGAATCCCTGCTGGAGGAGTGGGCATCTTGTCGAGGAATGAATAATGTAACCAAGTAGAGGATAGATTCCTCAGTCGTGCTCTCTTGGTTTTGTTCACACGATTGCTGTGCGGACCTTCTTACCTGTGTATTCGAGGGACGATGTGACAAATTTGACTGGTCGCGGGAAATGGCCTGTCCAGGAATGGGAAGCGATATCAACTGCAGGTGGGTGTCTCCTACCGACAAGTATGCTCTAGGCTTAGGAACCTATTACATTTTCCTAAGTACAGTTAAGAGCATAAATAGCTTCCTCTTTTGCAACATTCTTCGAAGTTCTGACGGAAAACACTCAGTGCGGATTATGTTTCATAACACACTGTACACGCTATTTGTCATGATTGAGTGGCCTATGGTTTTGCATCCTTATCGATCATCAGCACTGCCCCGGAATTGTCAACCTGTGCCTTATTGAAGGTACCCTCGAACTTATTCGCACTGTACCTGCGGAACAAAGATGATTGGTCACGGCTGCTGTTCTTGCTCAGATCGTGGAGTACCTGCAAATGTTGATTGTCATCGGTACTTCTGTCTGTCATCAGGCTCTCGTTGCAGATGTTCCTGGAAGACTGAAACCTTGCGAAGTAGATCGATGTGACCCCAAGTCCTCACCAAATGCGGAAGAGTAAGTTATTGACTTGTGCTATGCTCATGACTGTAGAACAGTAGGAACCCTAAAATATACTACCCTCTATATCCCTACAGGTCAAATCAGGAATGCTGCTAAACGCTTTTCGGAATGAGCACAGCACAAATTCAATAGGAACAGTGAAACAGTTCTCCGCTCGGCCCAGAGGATCTCTTCATCCAGTTCCTTTCTGATAAGGACTTCGAGATTAACATCCGCCGTTGAAGCTCAAACTCCTCGGCATTCACTGAGGCTCCACTATCTCCCAGCGTCATTCGTGTTGCATATATGCTTTTGGACGAAGCTTGACGGCGAAAAGTCTGTCTGTATCTCCGTATGACATAAAAGGTGAAAATTGATGTTGCTCCAATGGCTCCTATGACCAAGAGCGGAATTATCTACATTTGCTTTCTGACCGTTCAGGAGGACCGTAAGGAGGGAAGACACACAACGAATTTGTGTTTACCATCTCTCAAGGGGCACTCCAAACATACAGGGTCATGTGCGAGCTCTATTACAACTCGAATTGCCCATATATACCGCCCAAGGACATGTAACTCCACATACTAAGTCTCTTTCTGATGGCTTCCCGGTGCTCCATGCCTATTCAGCCTTAGTAGTCGACGGTTTTCTTCCACGATCCCCACTGCGTAGGCAGGGTCCAAGTCTCTTTTTTTCGAGGTGTCCAGGTTGAAATGGAGGACGAGTTCTGCACTGATCCACTAAATGATTATTTAGCCAACTCTGCTTGAGAGTGAGGAAAGCATGCAACGCAAGACTTACATGGAAAACATCAAATAGCACTGCATTCTCCATCCAAACCTTTGTCTTATGGTAGTGGTACATGCAGATCGCCATCCAGTGTGCCCTGACTGAAGATTCCTCCTTAATCCTCAAGTTGACGCAAATCCAATGAAGGTATGCTTTGAATATTGAAGCGTAGCACTGCTTTAGTGTCGCTTCTGCCGGCTGGCGCTCGATAAGAGCGCAGAACCTAAGATTCATTAGCCAGAGATGGATGTATTATGAAGGATAGCCTACTTGTGCCAATTCTTCTCTGCCTTTTGGATCATCCCGCACGCCACGCCCCTATGGTCCGCCTCCGTCGGCACTTCATGCTTGTACGTGGCAATCATGTAGCCACAGAAAGCGTAGAAATCACTATCGGCGCAATCATCTTCCGAGGCGGAATCATACTCTGATCCTGGGTCACCCCCGGAGCTTGATCCTGAGTCGCTCTCGGAGTCGTAACCGACAACTGTAGATGCCTCGGAGAAGGGTGTATCTTGGCGGTGGTTCGCCTGAGCGCTCTGCGATGGGGCGGTGGCATCCTCATTCTCCAAATACATGCCTGCCTTTGGTTCCATTCGATTACTACTACGGCGTCTATAGTGAGGCTAGAAAGCATCATCAGTGTCAGCTCGGTGCTCCTGAAAGCGCCTCGTCTATTCTTTTAACAAAATAACGAACAGTTCAAGACATGTCATCTCACACAAAACGAATGAACTGGCTCCTACAAGAACAAATAATACCGACTAGTTCTTCGATGCGATTTCCTCTCTTTTGTAGAAGGCTTGACTAACCTTATTGTCTTGTTGAGCTTGCTCCGTCGTCCCCGAAGTCATTGTTGTAGTTGCGGATTGCGGCTTGTGCTGTGCTCGCCAACGTGTCGCTGATGAGTCGAAGATCCTCGCAATAGTGACAAGCTTGCACGTTGCTGAAGACAAGAGAACGATTTCAAAAACGGTCGTGAGTAGTGGACAAGGAGTTGAAATCTGATTGCAGACCGTGGGAATCAAGGGTGCCGGAACCTTCTGGCTTTATACCTTATTCGATCCTCCTTAATCGTCACAATCATGACGTAAGGCAGCCGCTCCGAACTTTACCCTGTGGCAGTCAGCAGGCTCACATGTAATTTGGGTTTCTCTTCCCGCTGAGCTAGAGCAGGATGGAGTTCAAACTCGATCTGCCAACGATTTAGTTACAACGATGACACCGTATATTGCAGTATCAAAGCTAAGCGGTACCGCGACTGATGTGGCTGCGTTCGGCCGCCCATCCCCAACCAGAAGTTCGACCTGCTCTCGAGAAGTGCGAGGGTGGTAGCTTTCGCGGGGTCCACGGAGATACGGCGGTAAAAGAGAACACCTATGCCCGAGACTTTGACGATCTGGCGCAACCTCTTCCCTTTGTTGCATATAACGACGAGGGCCTTTCTATCTACTTGCTGCTTAGAGGACGCGTCCGAGCTATCGTCATGTGCTTCGTTGAGCTTGCAGTCCAGGACCGCCATAGAGACTCGCTGCATCAGGATGCCCGCTGGCTGTCCAGGGAAACGCGGGATACGGCTACCAGCAAAGTTGTTAACCGACAAGCACTATACCGTCAGTAACGGAAATACAAATATCGAACGCATCATCAAACGTCGCTATCTTGATGGGGATGATTTCCTTCTGGTTTCGATTTTCTTGGGACGCACTGATATGTGACGTCACACGCGTCATTTGGGGGGAGGGGCGATATTATGGAAATTGTGAGGGAGAGTTGCTATGGTCAGTGGAAGTCATTCCATTGCTTAACTGAACGTTTATATCAAAGATTGAGAGTCATGAATGAGATGTTGCTAAGGTAGACCGATGATGGTAGACCCGCTAAAGTTCAGTTAATGACAAGTCGATTTTGCAAGAGGAAGCTACATATGCTCATCACTATAGGCAAATGGTCAAAATACTGGTATAGCATACGTCAAACAGAGGCGGCTGGTGATTCGTTGGCCGCTTCTTTCATGGTTGTGCAACGTTATAAATACCAGCATTCTCATCGTCAGGAGCCCAGAATGTATTCTTGGGGTGAGCTACTGAGACCAAAAATTAGTCTTTTCCACAACGCGTCTTATATAGACCTGAGCCAGCAGCTTAGTACCTTGGTCCACAAGCAGACTATTTGAATTTTCCTGAGCCGAGTCAAGCCTCACAAAGGCAAGGAGCGGCGCAGTCGAGTAAGGATTTGCCCGTTGGTAAATCTATCCCGAGAACTATCCCACGAAATATTTGAATTGAACCAGCTTGCCCAGCACTTCCAATTCGGGTTTTCTCATCGTTGCCAGACGAGTACTGTCGAGTGGTGGACTGAGGGCTGCATGCTGATACGAGACTGGCGGCATAATCTCGAAACGTCGTCATGACTGCGCTCGACTTCAGGCCCGATTCACTTTCCCACACTGTCTGATTTTCGATATATTAGATACAAGAACACAGAGCCTGGCATTATCAATTGATTCATTCAGTGCCCAAAGAGATGCATTAGCCGTGATTGATTCCCTTTGTCCCGATGGGCTGCTAAGAAAGTATTGCCTAAGTGAGAAGTGTTTCAAGTGAATCGTCCTAGATCCCTCGCCAGTTCCTCGCGAAAGCAAGTAATCATGGTGCGGATGAAGACAAATTATTGCATCATGGATATCCCTCGCGTGCGCCAAAGTCGACCGGATAAACTCTCGTCGCCCGCTAGTCTATCCTATCCCTCCTACTCACCCTGTCTCGCTCGCGTCGCAGGCATTCATACATCCTTTTCCAATAGTCTCGCTCTCGTTCCGCCTCCTCACAGTAATGTCTCCAATAGTTTCGACTGCATTCCAACTTATCACAAAGTTTCTCTGCCTCATCGCAGCGCCTCGTTAAAGACCTAGACTTCCTGCACTGGCGTCTCAATTCTTCTTGCACCTCACCCAAAGCAACTTCGAGGGCTCGGATGCGGGCGCGTTCTGCTTCTAGTTCTGCGATCATCCGTCAGTTACTGTCCGAAAAAGGATTCCTACAAGAAAGTGATACTGTACCCTTTTCAGCACCAGAATTCCTTTTATACATGTTATCTCCCAAAAGCTCTCCGCAATTAGCCGGCGACCAGGGCGAAAACATGGAGGTGTTTGACTGGTGGATGTTTACTGTTTATTTATATTCCATCCGCACCGCCAGACCTAGTTTAAGGAAGGTGTGCCAGACCAAATCTGGCTCCCTCGAAACGCTATACGCCTCTTCAGCGTAGAAAGGGCATAAATGGATCTGAAGGCGCTATCCAACTGCAGCCATTCATGATAAATCAAGACTTGGACTCGTTCAACGTTCAGTACCCTGGCCGCTTACAATGTCTTCGCTACAGCAGCCAACTCGGACACCAGCTGCGCCAAAAAAACCACCGCATCCATGCGAGAGGCAGAAAAACACAATTGCCGCTTCGGCCTTGCTCCCGTTGCAAGCAACCGAGCAATCCTAGCTTGTTATGACTAATGGCAGTCGTGGGAACGCCCAAATCTTTGCTTCGTCTTTGGACCTTACTAAGCAAAGGCGCGTACAGATGTTCGCTCTTGCTCTCTGAGATAGCTGCAGTTTACGGTGACTTGGAGTAGGGACGCCAGACACCGGCGATCATCAGCGTACATTGACCGATCCAGCCGCCATTCTTGTAAAAGCCTCAGCTCATTGCATATAGACCGAGCTTTCCGTACTCGGCCCTGTTTTGGGAAAAGAGAACGTTGCATATGCATGGCCTTGTAGACATATCCCAATTTCTGGCTCGTTTTGAGGTCCAGTTCCGGTTCTACCACACGGGTATATTACGTGCAGCCACTCAACCTTTCTCGACAAAAGCATTAGAATCTTGGATGAGAAGCGTACGCCTTGACGTGACGATGAAGACGTTAGACAGTTCATCAGGGGCGAGTCAGGACATATCCCCCACGTCCCAATGCGATGCTCAATATCCTAGCGTCGTTACTCCAGAAGACAGTGACAGCCCTTGCTGGAAGATGAAACGGACCAAGCGCTTGGCAAAGCTGCTTTCGACTTGGTCTGGCTCATTGAAACTAACGAGGCATGCGATGGAACGGCGCAGTTCATCAGCGCCTTTCTGGGACGTGCACCCACCACCAGAGCAGAAACCGCTGCCTTTGCCACCGACGCAGAACAAGGAGTTACCCGCTCCTCCGCTTCCTTTATACCAGAGACGGTTGCGCGAAGAAGTGAGAGTTCATACAGCAAAGAAACCCCAAAGACATATAAGTTGGTCAGAAGGGCAAATCAACAGGCTCCAGGCGGATAATATAGACCTGCGCAAAGCACTCCTCGGATACAGAAGGGGCCTTGAGGAGCAGAAAAGGCTGAACGAATGTTTGAGAGACAAGAATGCGAATTTCATGTTGGAGATTGATGAGCAGAAAGAATTGGCGCACATTGCTCGAAGAATTTTGGCTGCGACCGAAGAATTCAAGCAGGCAGATTCGCAGTCAGCAACCGGCCTTTTAGATTCCAAGGTCGGTCATGATATCGGGGAAAATGATGCCATTGAAGTCGGAGAAGAGCTGAGCTGCAGAATCAGTGACGTTATGACGGCATATAGTCAAGTATAGGCAATGAATGCACCACGCATACAGTTGTACGGCAAGTAATTCACGAGGCGATTACGATTGAAACAAGTTTCTTTTGTGATTTATGGTAGACTAGACATCATGGATAAAAGCCGCGTTTTGGGCCTTTCCCAAGCACTTGTTGCAGGCCAATGATTGCTAAGGGGGACACCAAATTTTAGGTGGGGCCCTTCGGGATGGGAAAAAAAAGGGCTACTTCGCACGTAAGTTGTCGAAGACCTAGTTTTGGGATCGGGGCCTGTTCGCAGATTGACCCGAAAATAGCAGCCTTTCCTGCATGAATTGCATTCAGACATATGACTGGACGCGGGTATTTGATCGAGATAGAAATTTCCCCGATTCTCTATAATTTGTGGAAGCTCACATTAGCCATCAGCAGGACACACTTCGGTCGCAGAAGATACAGTATTGCAACGACAAGCCAGGTATTGATGAAATCGTTTCTAGAGACACCCGAATGCTATTACTCTACATCAAGCGTTCCGAAAATACATTGAACAAGCCGTATATGTTACATGTATTAAGGGCGAACCCTTTCTTCTATAAACAAAGATAGGCTAGCAAGCGTCTCCGTCTACCCTATAACAGTCTGTTCTCATGGTTCAAGGATCTCGGTATCACTCAGACCATGTAATTTTTCTCGATGCGGTAGAGCAGACCGAAACGAGTCTTCACCAATATTTCTTTACGAAAGAAAAACTAACCACTAGTCTTATCCGCCACCCGTGGCTTGTATTGTGTATATACTATGAGTCAAATGTACTGTAGACTAATCACTGTTGGGCCAGTCTCTACAGAACATGCAGGACGCTACTCATCAATGAGAACTCAGCTCCACAACCGAGACAGCAGCAGTCGCAATGCTAATGATCTCAAGTGTTGGTTGGTGCCCTGCTATTAGTTGGCGAGGGAATTGGATGCAAAGAAACCTCTTACCAATTACATGAGCCTTGTACAATATTCTGCTAACCCCACAGATGCATTCCATGCCCGCTGTTCCTGACAGACTGGAACAGTCAGACGAATAATGGGGTCGTCTTCCATACAAAGTGCCTTTACGGCATCAGGCGGATTTAGCTGGTAGACATATCCGGTACGAGAAGCTGTAAGCGTCGGCATGTGCTTGTCGAGCATGTGTCTGAGATCCAAGAATGGAACTAGATAGTAGTCCGTCACGATCCTCTTCCGTGACGTTTACTACAAAGCCATCTTGGTCCACATAAATAGAATCTTTTGTCCGGCCCTGTGAAGGCATGCTCAGTCTTGGGTAAATCCAAGCGCCACTTTCAGCCTATGGGGAGGAAGGCAGTACGCTCCACTTGCCTTGGCTCTTTTCGATCGTCACTTAATTCCCTCTTCCGACCTCTACTTTCGGGATGACTCTTTCGAAATTTCCCCGAATCAGGCTTACTTCGAGACTAAGGGACAAAAGGCGTAGACCGATTCAAACTTGCCTAAGAGATGTGGAGCTTCTGAGAGTAGATTTAATGGGGATCCTTTTTTAATTACACCCATGGAATCTGCAAAGCGATTGAAGGTAGATAGGTTGCGCTGCGGAAGCACAGATAAATCATGACACAGACCTACCATCGGCTCCTCCAAACAAAAGAGAATCCGAGGCTGGTAAGTTGAAGAAGCAAAAAATCAATATGTTGAAAAAGTGGAGAGACGCACGCTCTCAATAAACTGGGGCTACAGCCAACGTCGGCAAATGATTGGAGGTGCTGGCTGCAAACGCATATGATACTGGCCGCGGTGGGGTAGAAAGCGTTGTACCACCACGCGTTCACTATTTTATGCCTGAGACCTCAAGGCAAGAGTCCGCCCCGCAAACGCCCTTCTATCCTTGACAACTAAAAGACCACATAATTCCTAGCTGTACCAATCTTGAGCTGGCCTGTCAGTCTCTTACACAATGCGCATAGCACCTTGCTCCCAGCCTTCAGCCGGCGGGGTCGAGGTTGACGCTAAAAATGTCCCTGCATCGGAGAGCGACGAGCTGGTCTGTCTTGGTACCACCGTGAAACCGCCGAACCCTTCAAACCCAAGGGCACGCATCAAAGACCACCAAGCCCCGGCACTCGTGATGCGAGCATCAGATTCAGACCAGCCGCGATGTGCAGCAGGACCACAGCAATCTTTCAAAGACGATTCGGCGTCCGGAAAATGGGATACACGGCGGACCGGCGAATCAAAGGTGCCCCGATTGGCGAGAACACCAGGCCGCAGAACAAGTCGTTCGAGTGTGCGTGGCCACCCAAATAAACATCGTCACACCGTGCCTGCCGCGATAATCGGTCATTCGGTTATACTAGGCTGGGCACGAAGACCAGCTGGACAGAAAACGCGCCCCAAAGTGCAAGCTTCATTTAGTCCCGCTGGACGATTTTCATTCAGACTTGTCATTGAGCCAGGCCACAGGAATAGTGTCACAGTTTCATTTGAGAACGTTGAATTGGTGCCTCAATTTCAAGGAAACAATCGTGGCGAAGTTAAGGCCAAGGTGCAGCGATTTCTGGAGAACAAACTGGGAAAGCCAGCAGATTACGGTGAAGTCTGACATATTGATTGTGGATGGTTCGGGGAGAGGAGAGTGATGGAAAACTCAAACAAAATATCAACTCCGTAGCAGCATGTTTGACGTTTAGTAAAGAATGATGTTATGCTTTAATATGGCCTGGGCGACAATCAAGGCGTCGGTTTTAAAACTCTCCTGGTTTGTGACGCCTTCTCAAAAGGAACTGCACCATAGGCTCGGGACACTGCGACTCTTCCGACATCCAATTGCGCCAGTGTGAGAAAATTAATACAGTGGCGGTACCTGAATCCATCCTTGTGTGGCTCATAAATACGAGACGGACCTCGTCATTAAATATAATGTTTCTATGCCGGCCGTCGAGAGGTCAACGTTTACGGGGCTCACACTGCGAGAGTGAAGACCAAGGTTCGATTTCTGCGACGGGCCACCAAAAGTATCATGTCGCACCGACGTTGCGGACTTGACCTCTACTATCTCAACTCTCGTTATCAACTAGTGTACTAGCGGGAATCGAAAGGGCGACATTGGTGTGTAATAAAAAAGGGTAGACGTCTAAATCTGACAATGTTGACGGATTGTTCTCAGCTTGCCTGCGCATTTGCTAGCCAACAATGCCCCGTAAACAACAGGAGTGGGATGCAGAGTTCATGCGCGTTGAGGCTCATACACTGTTCAGTCTTGAACGCGGCAAATTATCTTGAGCTTCTGGGTTCTCGGCTTTCTGTCCCATTTCGAGTAGAAAAGCTACTCAGGTATGTGCTGGGGTTTCTGCTGTTTTCTTCTTCGTCATAATCGGTGTGCGGGGACGCCTTATTGACCGGTTCAGAAAAGGGATGAAGGACTTGGTGAGGATGTAGAAGTCGCAATTTGTGGATTCAACCATGATGGCAAGTTCTGTATCAGTGCTGTCATCGAGCAACGGGCCTTGCAGCAACGGGTTCACTCCTACGTCTTCTGACAACGTGGGCTTAATTACGCTGCGCCCAGAGCCGACGAGCTCTGCGTGAAAAGCCCACAGGTTCTCATGCCGACGAGAAACGAAGCGCGTCAATAATTTCTCAAAGTGACCGGCTGTAGTCATCTCAATGTGCTTCCCAATCAGAGGGCTGGTCTGCATTCCATTGTGAACTGCACCCTGGGAGGTCATTTACCAGATTGAGAGATTATCAGCGCCCACAAGACGTCGTCTCATTATTGGCGAAAATTGAAGGCAAGCGTACGATTAGCCGAGTAGGATGCACCGTCTCATATGCAGGCGGGCGTACTTTTCAAGGGTCTTGCCGATATTAGCAGGAGACTAATGCAGGATGTACATCCGCGAAATCTTTGCACTAATGCAAGGTTCAATTTTGGGGTTGTGACACCCGCATTATTTACGACGCCCTGACTTACTCGATCGACGTAGGGATGCCAGCGGGAGAAAATGTGTAGCATCGAACTGGGATGGGCTATGCTTGTCGCATCTTTGAAGTTGACGAGGCCACAAACCTAGACTCTAGTCCTCGCAGAGAGACCTCCTCTATATGACTTGCTTTTGATCTGCAGCAAATTCAACTGGGCATCGCGTCGCAGACCTGTTCCCACTTGCTTTCGTCCCAGAACAACTGAACGCATGAGCTGGCCCCGAGTACTATAGTAAGCTGTGTTTCTCCTGTCATCCTGATGCTAATGGATTCGCGCCGGCCGATACAATTGCGAATATTGTGGTACGCCGCTGCCGAAGGCCATGAAACTTAACATGTAAGTTCTCCTGATCACATGAAAATCGTGTGTTCCTCACAAGGTCAATAGGTCGGGACGTGGAATGTTTTTCTCGATGTCAAGTGGACGGGACGAGATCTGCCATAGATTTACACAGAGCTCGTGTTACAACGGCTTGTGTGTAATAAGGGCATGTGATATTGTAAGGATAATCTCTATGGGCATCTAATAAGGTCCTGAGGTTCTAGGATCTTCCTTGGATACAAGGTGGTGCTGCCGCTAATATATAGACCTTCTCCCTTGAATGCCTGAGGCATTTCCTGGCCTTAGCGTGGCCTAGAACCCGCTCTGTTGCCTAGAGATACGGTTGTGGATCTTTCACGTGTGACAGCTCGCTCACTTCAATCAATCAATATTGGCTTCCGCTTCCAGCTTGTTCAATGAACTTCTTCCACGCTCATCAATATCAGGCTGGCGCAGGATTCTTCTAAACGCACCAGCCAGCCCTTACAATCCTGATGCCTGTGAGTGCAGTCTCAAAATGAGCAATGGGGACGATGCCATGTATGATGTTGAGATTTCTGATGGTCGAAAGCGCAAGGTGCTGGATGGCGATGGAAATGCGTCGGCACTTGAAGTTGTGGAGAGAGATCCACGCAAAAGAAGGTGCATATCAGGATAAAACAGGCGCCCTGTAAGAGGCCTTAATTGTTCGGTCCGGCGAGCTATAAAGACGAGTGCATATTGACAACCAAGAGCCATCGAAAGCTTGGAATTCGAGAAAGTTGTGTGCTGATTCGATGCTAGCATAGTATGCAAATTACAATGCCTCCCCCCTGGACGAGCCCTTGTGGCAGTTCCTCAGAGTCGATCTTTCAATCCTGAAGCGAGTGATTGTACCGCCATCTGGCTTAGCCCCGTCTTATTCACGGTGTACAATCCATCAAAATCTAAAATCTCCCCGTATCTAAATTAACCACGTTCATTATTATAGTAGAGTATCACCACATCAGCCTCTAAACTAGACAGTCATGAACTACTGAATCAGCTTGACGATGCCGGAAATTTAATGCCCTCCCAAAAATGTGACGATTGCCATGTACATGTTCATAACGCCGGTCATTACAGTTCTGCGCAGTATCATCTGGCGCGCCTTCTTAAGAGCTTCATCATAATTGGTAACAGCAAGCATGTGCTTGTCAGGTCTGACATTATGTCGGAAGAGGATACCCATGGCACAGAAACAGGCAAGTACAACCGCAGCAAAAGATGTGGCGGAGGTGTGTATTGATTTATCGGTAGAACAAGACCAGAAAAACTATCCTGCAGTCTCCAGCCGATGGCATACCGAAGTATTCACCCTGAATAGCTGTAAGACTCTCGATCAACTATTGTCATACATTGCTCAGAACGTCACCACCTTGAACGCCCCCTGAACATGAACCCGCTCACTAGGTTTATCAGCCAGGAACCAGTTGTGATCGTCACACCAGTGTATATTCAGACTGCTTCACAGGCCTTGTGTATTGAAACAACCAGATGGATGCGGGCCGGGCACTGGCAGTGGAGGTAACTACCGTGCAAAGTACAAAAGGCTGCTCGTGGCCGATTGCTTTGCTAGGCCCATAAACTATCTTTCGGGACTACCCTGGCATTACAGCAGGTCTATGGATCAACAGATGTTCCACTACCAATTGAGCAGAACAATTTATTCGAAATGCAAAACAGCCCTGGCCGTGCTTAGATGCTGTATAATGGCGTGCTCAACGTCGGCCAGCCCACCCTCGAGCCGCTCCCGGAGGTCTTCCTCGAGGCCCTCGCGCTCATCCTTGACCATTTGGTCCAGCTCGCACTTCCTGTCGAGCAGCTGCTCCTCTACGTCAACCTCGATCTCGTCTCTGGTTTGGGCTAGGTTCCTCTGTATTTCTTCGTCGTGCTCTTCTAGCCGCTTTTCTAGTGATTCCCGGTGTTTTTCTAGCCGTTGTTCGACTAGGTTGACAACATTATCCTTGTGCCTCTCAAATAGGTCAGTTAAGAAGGACTCTAGGCGATCCGCCAGCCGCCTTTCCATGTCTTCCAACTGGTGCTGCACCTCCCCTGCTATCTTGGACACTTTGCTATGGTCAACCTCCTTAGAATCAAATCCCATAGATATATTCCTGCAATTCTCACCACTATCACCAGTAGCAGCTGGATGTTGCGTGCGGCGCTTAGCTTGTACGCCGATGCTACTATTCCTGCTCCGCGGGCGCGGCCGCTTCTGCGAAGATGAGAAATGGGCAGACCCGGAGTTCGCCTCTTTCACGAGAGATGGGGGTCCGGGGCCTAGCTCATCGTAGGAAGGCGGACTCTCCACGACAGGGGACGCAGGCCCAGCATCAACCTCGTGCTCGGGCTCACTCGGAATGGTGACAAAGGGATAAAGTGTCCTGCCGCCCTTGCCGCCGTACAAGCTGGAGATGCTGAAATACTGGTCCAGATGTGCCAAGGCAGGGTTGCTTGTGGCAGCGCAGAGGGATTCAAGTGCTGACCTCGAGAGGGCGCGGTGCGAGAGGAAGACGGCAACGTCGGTCTGTTGGGCAAGGATTTGCAGCGAGCTAAGGACACGCGCAGCCTGCTCGTTCTTCGGCACCAAAGGGTCGGGATGCCGCGGGGCGATGATTGTCGGGGGCGAGCTTAGCGCAAACTTGAGGCACACCGCATCGCGTGACAAAAGCTTGCTGACAGTGCCGGGGACATGCTCGTTATTTGTGTGAATATTGAGGGCGTTAACTTGTTCGGTCTTGATCACGATAAACAGGTTCGCCGTATTCTTGGAACTGTGATGTTGTGCCCTCAGTAGCACGCGGATGTTCAACTTGAATAGTGCGGTCCGCGAGGCGCTTGAGCAGCGAACATCACATTTCAGACAGCAGGGCACCGGCACCTGGTCGACGCCGTTCAACTTCTTCGCAATATATTGTGTTGTGCCGTCAGATCCAGGCCAGGATACCAAGGCCGGGGCGCCCGAGAGTACGATGTCAGGGTCTCCATCAATGTGGCAAGCTGGAGGGGAGCAGGAGCGACGATGATGAGAAGTCGATATGGGTGTTGGCGATAGCGAGGGCGAGGGCATTGCCGCGTGGGTTGACCTAGGATCAAACCAGATCAAGCGAGCTTAGCCGACAGGATAGATCAGATATTGGCAAACGGTCCGCAGCAGATGAATCAATCGTAGTATAACAGTTGCTTAGTACATCTTGATGTGTTGTCAATCGAGTAATGCACAACTTACAGTCTGAATAGTAACCCTTGCAATGCGGCAAAATATCCCACTCTCCCGCTTTTCTCTGACAGAGCGGCAGCCTGGGCTCCCAAGCGCAGTTTGAATTTTCAAACAAGGTAGCGGAGGGTCGGAGAAGAGGGAGAGAAGTAGGCAGAGGGAGGGGACGGGAACAAAGCCGAGCGACTGTGTAAAATGAGTATAGCTGACAGGCAGACGCAGGCACTACGCCAGCGCGTCACCTCCCCAGGACCCTGGGCCTCTCTCTCGCTCTTTTGGGACGTTGGGGATTGTGCCGTGAGGTCAATCCATGAAACCCAGGTCGTCAAGCGAGGAGGGGAGCCAGTCGCGTGGTCCAGGGCGCTTCATAACACACACACAGGCCCAGCTTGAAATTGTCGCTCTTGCGACCGGTGCGTGGGCTGCTTCGCTTATAGATGAAAATGGTTGAAGGATTGATTGGGGGAAATGGATGGATGCTCGGGGTTGATATGGAAAGATTGCATGTGGACGAAGGTACGTGTGTTCGGGGCGGGGGCACCATTATCCGGCTCACCGCCAGAACCTTGCCAGACTTGCGGGTGCGACCCGCACTCGCTTCTTGGTGCGGGGGTGATGGCATACCCTTGCTAGCGTTGTAGCCGCTGTCGGTGCCCAGAGCAGCCAATCAAACAGACATGCAGTCTCAGGTTGGGTTCGTGCTTTCCTTTCTCGCCAAATTCGCCTACGATCATCCAAACCAAGATCTCATCGTTGCTTCAACCTGCTTCTCTGAGAATACGACGACGGTCCTCCCAATTAGATATCGCGCCAGCCTTTGTTCCATTTCCCCCAACTCAGCGTCAGCGCCAATGGCGCATGCGACTGCGAACTCGACCCCATCCCACGACACGACCCGGCCAGGCACGAGGGGGGTGCTCCATCAGAATAACCAGGAGCGAACGAGCAAGCAAACCTCAACTCGTCTTCCCCGTCCACTCCTTCAGCTCGCGACATATCTGCCGTCACCTGCTTCAACCCCGGACCTAAACAAGAGGACGAGCTGCGTCAGGGTCGGCCACAGGATCGTAGTGAACTCGACACGGCGTTTTTCCTGATCAGAGCATCCTACGACAAGCTGCCAGAAGCAGAAACAACGGGGTGGCAAATCTTTTGCATTTACCACAATGGTTGAACCAAGCACACAGGAAGACAGCTGATTCTTGAGATGACTTGGAGCGCTTAACCCTCAGGTCGCCAAGAGGGACCTCTACGGCATCTGCGGCTCAACGGTCGGCTCAGATAAGAGTTCGCAAGGGGTGGGAGGAAGTCAGCCGAGGGCTCAATAGGCTCGTTTGCGCAGCATTGAGTTTGGTCTTGGATCGCGTATCACATATGGTCAAAGAAGACAATTAGACCTCGATAATCCTAACCTCTCCGTCGTTCTTCGGCCATCTTCCTAACGCCGGCGATATGGCCACGTGGCCCCGTCGCAACAGCTCTTCCTCCCGCTTCAGGATTTTCAGGCCGACGGCTAAGCCCCTCGAGCACTGGGCCACCGTCTCTAAGAATTCGATCGTCTTTCTGAGAAGTCGCCGCAGGACTGCTCCGTCGACAAATCTCCTCAGGCGTTCGTTGTGGAAGACTGTAGAAAGCGCAATCAGGTTGCCAATTTGACTACGGCTTCGTTAGTGATGACCGATTACAACAGCAGGTTTAATCAGACTTCATACAAATATACTGTACCGACGACGCTGGTGATGATGATACGCCTTTTTTCTAGAGCGTGGAAGGCTGTTAAGCTCTTCAGTATAGCATCAATGCACTTTTCCGCATTCTTCGAGTCCGGAACACATAAGCATTCATCAACCGACAAGTTTAGGGCTCTCTTTAACCACGGACGATAGGCGAGGGCCTCGGCCTCCAAGAGTTTATAACGAGCACGGGCCGACAGAATCACTGTCCATTGATCACCACTGCTGGATGGATCAGATGCTTGCCAGCTTTTGCGCATCAGTTCCCCCTCAATTTCCGTCATTATTTTATCCTCCTCTCGGTCCCCCAAGTTCTGAGTTTTATCATAAAGGAGCTGAAAGATCTTGTTGACCACTTTGCGAAGGTCAATGTGGGCGGCGTAGCTGACGGCAATAGGATTCGAGAATCCAAGGTCCTTCAATTCGAACGGGGCTGGCTCCGTTAATATGTGATCGTAATCAAGGACGTGAGACGGAGAAAGGTGATGGTGGGACAGAAGATCACTTGAACATTAGCGCACGCGACTTTGTTGATCAGGAGCCCTTACTTACCTTTCTATCTACCAGCAGGACCAGAAGATCACGCGTAGCTCAACTTCGATTGTTTCTGACTCAAGCATGTCTCTATGGATCTTTGTCAGTTGGAACAAAGAGGGCAGCAGGCTCAAGCTTACACATGGAGCCTGTCGAGAATTGCTGAACCCGCGAATCTGATGTACCGGAAACTGTCTGCTACCCATCCAAGCTGGTCACAGTAGAGACTGGCTAGAACATGAGCGCGGATCAGGTTGAGGCAGGGCGTGCCGAATCCAAGGACGAGGTTCCCAGTCACATGGTCGAAGTATTGCTTTCCGGGTATCGTTTCGCTCTGTGAATCATGTAGGTCTCTGATGCTCCTCCATTGGCAAAGATTTCCCAGTGCGAGGACCAAAAGTACCAATGTACTTTCGAAATCTTTGCTCTGAGGGTATCTTCCAACCATTTGGTCCAACTTCTGTGGCGGGATTAAAGGATGCACAATCTGAATATAATTTTTGTAGAACTCGACATAGCTCTGGACTTTTGCTGGATCGAGGTCCACTGGCATGGGCGTAGCTGTCGAATCTTCGCCAGGTAGTTGGAACAGATGGCATTGTTTCGCCGACTGGCGTGGGTCGGTCAGCAATCCGATCTTCTCGCCCTGTAGCAGTGTTCTCAATCTGCCAGAAATAGCCGGCCATTTGATCAAGTGTGCTGTCGAAGCTGTGTGGTTGTATGGAATCCGTGGCGGGCGACTTCCAGTCATTCCGGGTTGTTCTTCATCGCACGGTGCCATTGGACCTGGGAAATTAGCGCCGCGAAAAGGGGGAGGTGGTGTTGGCTGCTTGGGGGTCTGTGGCAGTTTGATGTCGAGTTGTTGGAGTACGTTGCGTTTTGAGTAGACCTGCTTCCAAATACGATGGCGAAGGCTTCGTTCCCGGAGTAACAGGACAGAATGAAGAAGAAGAGTGGAATCACAATCCCACCGCTGAGTTCCGCCAAGTGAGAGGGCGTGATCTCACTCCGCGGTCTTTGCATCTCGTCTAACCAAAACTAAGGAACAGGTGGCCGTCCTGAAGCCCAATCTGTTGCTCAATGGCTCGCTTCAGCGGCTCGATTGAACTACTACTCTCTGCTCCTTCGTTGTCAAGCCCAGACGGCGAGCTTGGTAAGTTCCGGTTGGCTCGTAGAACCCAGAGACGGCCAGCCCTCCGTGGTGCAGACTTCAAGTCTCACTGTGTCTTTGCTTCTGCGCCTCGAGATGTGGGAAGCGTGGGTGCATGTCACACGTTCGAGGCGTTGGAAGACCATGTTGGGATGGAGTGGTGGTTAGTCTATCGGCATGGGGCGCCCCCTGCACATCTCGTCTGCGGTCCTGTCTAGTCCCATAACAAAAGGTACTTGTGCCAACCGCCCTTCTACACCGGACCCTTGGCTTGCCGGCCTTCCCGGCACAGTGTGTATCTTTCCGACTGCACACCCCTAGCCGATGACTTGGGATCTACCTTGGAACGCAAGATAACCATCGCGACAGACACAGCTGAGACCGACCTCTACATGTGGGTCAGCCTCTACAAATTGTCTCATCTCATCCAATTCAAGCAACAGTAGCTTCGCCAGGCTTGGTCGGAGGGATGCTACTGCGGGTGTGGGTATCTGCGACCACCCAGATTAGTCTCAATGTAATAATCCAGCCAGACCCTGTGCCCCTTCGCCAGCGCTGAACAGAATATGCTTCAAGGGAACTTAAGACCCTGGCTCCAGCCGCATCTTCCCAGTTCCTAACCTCCCAACTCTCAGCCCAAATCGCTCCTGCTTCCCAAATTGTACACTCTCTCTTGGTAACTCAAGTTTGAACCATTCTTGTCAGATGGCATGCACGCAAGCAAAAGCCCCCGAGCCATGGTTCCCGTGTCATGATTGTTTTCTCAAGAAGAAGTTGCACAGGTCCAAGGGTGCGGCATTAGCCTTGAATCATTATCTCGAAACCCATTCAGGCACCAAGGCTTCAAAATGTCCTCGACAACATTGCCTCTTTTTCGGAGGCTCTGATGTGATGGCGGACCACAAAAATGGCACCGCCGTTACGATGAATCTTCTGAAACGGCGAAGAAATGTTGTTTCTGCGAAGTAGTTGCAGACAACAACCATTTCTTAACTGCGTCGCATCACTTGGTCTACTTCATGGCCACACTTGCCTCCGCCAACGATGGCCAGCATGAGCTTTCAAAGTCTGATTCGTCCGGTGGCGACATGGAGAACCGCAAGAATGTGAGGGGCGTCAAGCGAAAGGGGGATGGTGAGGTTGAACGGTCACATCACAAGCGCCACGACACCGGTTTCAGCATTTCACCTTGCAGATCTCAACCGAGCATTGCAACTCAACAGAAGCCTGACAAGACCAGTATCTCCTTTCTCTTGCTGTAGAAATAGACCTGACGGTCGGGGGCACACGCTGGAAGCCAAGTAGCCAGGAACTGGCGTACCGGTCATTTTGACGCGTTGGTGACCGGGTGTGGTCTTGAGGTGATGGCACATGTAGGAGCCAAGGAGGGTGAGATTTTGGCTGAGTGATTCAGTGAAATTATGAATGGAGGCTCTGACGCATGTTTATTTTCACTATTCGGATGCAGGTTGCTGGTTAGACACATGTAGTATCTAATGATCGCCAAAAAGTTCGTATACTCTTTATCACCGTTATGCATTTAAGACAGTTCGATTAATCAAAACAATTGACTCATGACAATGAAGAACTGGAGATACCATTGCCAAGGACGTACATCAAACGAAATATCCTCCCCTTATTACCATATGAAAGATCTCCCTTCACTTAACGCACTGGTACAAAGCTACTTATCTTTTCTGTAAGACCTGCCAAGTCGAGGTCGTCACAGCCCTCGAAAATCTTGAATCGCAGAAGACAACGCTCTGCCTTCCTCCTTTCGAGACCACCGAATGGAACTGGCTCTAGTTTAGCTTCAAAAAAGAGAGAACCAAGTATTTCAAGGTTTTCCCTAGCTGAATAGTTGGGATTGAAAGCATGCGAAGGCGGTTCCGACAGGTTTGAAGCTGACGCAAACACAGCCTGCAACAGTGATAACAACTGCGTCTCTGCCTCTGAGACGAAGGGTCGTGATATCCTTGCGCTTTTCAATTCGGAAAGATTGAACAGAGCCAGCGTCCACGAGTGACAGGCTTTATTACATTTTCATCGCAGATATGCCACACTTCGTTATGCCCAACTCATCCTTCACCGGACATGCGGCAAGCCTGCTCCGCCAGTGTGGGCATTTGAGGGACTCTTATCTTTTCTTCGCCTGATACATGATGCCATACCCTCTGTCATTGCGCGGCCTCTATCTGCCATGCTTGACACAGCAATCTGCATCATGGCTCTGCTTTGCCACTCCATTCCAGAGTCCAGGGACATTTGAATCCCAAACCTCAAATTTCTCCATAACTACTGGTTTGTCTTCTGAGATCCCTTGTCTACCTTGCCCTTCTGATAAATTTGGGGCAGGTCAGCAATACCTCACGCGATTTCAGCACATCACTTGACCTGGGCCAGCGCTACAGCAAACGCCTCCTTTTCCGAATTCTTGGAACGTGACACCGAAAGTGCTGTCAAAGCAATAATTGCACATCGCTCAATCTTTTTCTTCGCTCTGAAAGTAGAGGCATACTTAGATACGCTTGCCGGAGATGTGTACATCGAATCTATCCCATTTAGGCACTCACAGAGTTTTCTACTTTCCAGGCCTGTATATGAGACCTACCGCCTTGTTTCCCTGCAACAAACTGTGGCAGAGGCAGACCAAGAAGGCGAGCTAGATTTTCTGGGCGGGAAAGTACATGTCAAGATCTGAAAGGTTGCGATGGAAGGACGAGGACTGCAGCTGCAAATGAAGGGCAACTTTTCAAGGAAAGTGACGTGGGAGAATGCCCAACCAAGAATAGAATACACCATGCCACACATCTCTCTTCAGCAAATCTGCGAATGGTTCCTCTGGCTCCATCGGTTCGCTCAGTCAGAATTTCCAGATATATCCTAGAAACAAGCCCTACGCCCGGGTAAGCCTCAAAGCAGTGTACCAAGAGGTCCCCTGCTCGGTGCCACCGATGTCAATGAAGGCACTCCCCCCTAAGTGCTAAACATCAGAATGAAACATCCAAAAGATCAATCAGGCTTCCTTTCATTTCTCGCAACCAATTATTTTGGGCTCTTAGAACTGGTCTTTTCCAAGACGTCATCCATGTCACTCATCTCTTCACCAGCACTGGTCGAAGGCTTTTCTTCTCATCAGTCACAATTATGAAGGCTGGTTGACAAGTACTTACCGATGAAGTTTTGGGAGGAGAAGGGTGAGGAGCCGGAGAGCCTGATTTTTCCTGCTCTGATGGCATGACTGATTTACTTTCTCCTGAGGTGATATGCAAGAGGTATCGTTAGGGAGATGCGAGTCACCCTGCAAGCGTTGATTTGAAGTAAGAAGTGACGATATGTTTGCAAAATTCGATACATTGAGGGCAGGAGATACAGATGTATGAGGGAGGGGTAAGACTTTATATTTCTCGACGGGCTCACTGCCGTGCTTTCATCGACTTCGGAAAACACGCAGCACACACACAACCGAGCCTTGCTAACACTGGATGGCAATTGATCGACCTAGACCGCTCGGAACACGTCAGAGATATGTCCTGCAGCTCAGTTTATGCCATGTAATGACCAGTCAGGCAATTGAGGCTATGAGATGCAGTCTGCGCATGCAGGCAGATCCAGCTACGTTCAATCTCCTTGAGTGAAACCTTAGATACTTGCTCCGGTTGGTGTGTAATCTACTGTAAGGAGCAGCAAGGGCAAAACGATGTGAACCAGGTCCTCATCCAATATGCACCAAAGACCAATAGATAGAATATTGTACACATTTCGAATATCGATCTAAAGAAGAAGGCCGATGTGCCTATCCTCGCCTTGAGATGAATGAGGTCGGGCCAGAATGGGCTCTCGGCCTCATTGGGAGGAGTGCAGTAGGATGTGCTGCCTAATTAGCTGTCAATCAAGTAAAAAGCGAAATGAGATCTCCAGCGCTAGAGCTGGCGGTAACCTGTGTTTGCTGATAAGTTGTGGCAAGTTGAGGTCGGCCTGATGTTCTTGAAGTCGTCCACAGATTTAGCGGGACCTCACAAGAAGTTTTGGGTAAGGCTTAGCGTTGGATGCAGCAGGCGTAGCAAGGATTACAGGGCTCGCCCATGGCCAAGCCGCGGGACTGAATTGGCGCATGTCTGGCCCAGACTCTGATTTTCCCAGCCCCCTACAACTTGATACCCCTGGCTTTGTCACTTCCTCGATGTACCGTTGACGGCAACCATCGATCCAGTGAAGATTATGCAGAGGTGTTGACGCACCCTCTGCCCGAAGCAGACTGGCGTTCTCGTAAAGAAGCACGTACACCAACCACGCAGCGCGTGAATCAAGATAGTTAGGTACAGAGCTGCGGAAATATTCTGGCCTTGCAAATTTCGAGAGAATCGTATCACTCCATGAGCACTTCTTCTTGCACACACAACCAACAGCAGTAATCCTTTTTCATCAGTTGACAGAACGAAGCTCCATCAAGAGCCATGGATAGCCCATCAATACCGGACACTAACGATATAAAGGCAGCGCTCGAATCCATTGTCGGTAAAGGGACGCGATTAGAATCCTTCTTGTCTGACTTCATTACCGCCTTGCAAGAGCTAGCCCCCAAGGAAACGACCGTATACACAAAGTAAGCTATTGTTTTCCAGAAGTCCGACAGCTTTGACTAAAGGTGTGAGCGGCAGACCTCAGAAAGACCCTCAAGCATTGATTGCTGAGGCTCATCATCGTGCCAAGACTATTATAGAGCAGATCGTTGTTCTCGAAAGCGAACTGGAAGCCGCAAAGTGCTTGGGATCTTTGAGGAAGGTAAGAGACGCAATCGTCACGGTCGTTAGGGGAGATCTAATCTTGCGAAGCGAGAGGCAGTTGACACCGAGAGTGCTACACACGAGGTTTAGCCCGACGCGTTGATGCGATCCGACCTCTGCAGGCCTCGGAAACGTTCACACACTGCAGCTCCTGGGCGAGGCGAGGCGCCTTACCCACGCGAGCGGTCGCAAACACCGTGCTCAGATAGCTACGATACGTATGAGAGTGCAGCACAGCTTTGTTCGAAGAAGAAAAGGCGAGGGTCAAGCATTCTTGTGAATACGACGTTCGGGGAGACGTCGGATCGTATCTTCATCTATGGTCGACATTCGATCTTCAATCAGTTCCCCGGTGTGGCGGTCGACACACAGTCGGAGCTTTTTGCTGCTCCGCGCTTGAGCATCGACCAGGAGGAACAGTCAATGGTGATCAGTGCTGGGCTAAATGACAGATTTTAGCATATGAATGTCTTTGTTGAGGCGTCTCTTGCGAATTCGCGTCCTCGCATTAACCCATCACGAAGACTTGTTCTGGCGTTGACCCCGCAGTCGTGCCCCGTGCCTCTCTCCATCCCGTTCTGGTTGCTTGCCACCGCAAATTCAGAGTGCAGATGATCAGGAGTCGTGCGACGTTGAGCACTGGTCGAGTGCTTCCTGCCGAAGTCTGAGATGTCGTCTCATTGGAGGCAATACAAACGGGGCATCCCTGTCAGAAAGCGTGGTGCTCGTACCTCTGACTTCTCCCACACAAAATGCACTGTGCACATTCAGCACGTTCCACCCAGGATGATCCGTTTCTGCAGACCACCCTTCCATAGCAGCATGCCAAGCAATTTCGTGACTGCCAAAGTTACGAAATAAATGTGGGTACATCAAGTCATGCAGCCACGAGCTCATTGCTACCGAGCGCCTGCCCGCTGCCACTCAAGTCAGAGTCTGAGCAAGAGGTCAGTCACTCTGGGCGATAAGCTCCACATCCACATAGATAGCCGCTGAAAAGACCATCTGGCGGGATATATTTCAGAGTGAACTAAATACTGGTGCGCTCGCCTAGACACAAGATTTATCTCACCACCTCTTGCACTTTGAAAGAGCATATAGACGAAGGCCAGCGATCGATTGAATAAGCTAAGTATACAATTCTCGGGACACTGACATTTCCGTACGTGCGTTTGTCTATTCTGGGCACTTTCGTGTCCTTCCTGCCGGCCTAGGCCTGTAAAAGTGAATTAGTCTACCAAGAACCCTGCCTTTTTTTTTTCGCTAGAGCAGCAACTATGACTGACCTAGACAAGCCCGGGGGCATAAATATGCTCTTTGCTACTAGCAGGACAGGGACACAGGAAGGCTCCCGACAGGGGCACAGAGGCTCCCGACAGGGACACAGAAAGACTCCGGACAGGGACACAGAGGCTCCCGACAGGGACACAGAAAGACTCCGGACAGGGACACAGAGGCTCCCAACAGGGACACAGGGGCTCCCGACAGGGACACAGAAAGACTCCCGACAGGGACACAGGGGCTCCCGACAGGGGCACAGAAAGGCTCCCGACAGGGACACAGGGGCTCCCAACAGGGGCACAGAAAGGCTCCCGACAGGGACACAGGGGCTCCCAACAGGGGCACAGGGGCTCCCGATAGGGACACAGGGGCTCCCGACAGGGGCACAGAAAGGCTCCCGAGGATGTCGTATTCATCAAGATCCATCTATAGACATGCGGAGGATAGAAGCAGCTAATCAAAAGAGGCAATTCTGTACCCTTGGCCTGCTAATAGTGGGGGCCACAAAGTGCTCCCATGCTCAATATTGAAGCTTCCTGCCGGGGATGCTGTCCGTTGAATCGAGGTAGACGTATTTCTAGGCGGTAGCCTTTATGTGAGATACTTGTAAGCGATAGCGCTAAGGTTGTGCCATGTGTGCTCGTGACAGATGCTGGCCCAACAAGCAACCAACAAGTGCTGATCCTGTAGCATGAAGTTTCATTGTTGCAAGGCTCCGCCGGCACTTTCCTTATTAGCCCTCGATTGATGATGCATGACAGACTACTATGAGTCCAATGGAGGTTGGCACTGGGAAAAGGTTCGCCGAGCTGTCTGATCAAGGCTGTTGGGATGCCACCGCCGTAAGTGTGTCCACGTGCTCACCAATGCTGCACCGCTATATAAAACAAGGCCGACTGACCCCAAGCCACGGCCTTCCGTATTCATAATCAATTCCTTTCAATCTCACATTCAAATCTAGAGCAACATGGACAACGATAGCAAAATTCGTGCTGGAATTGCTAAGGAGTTGGGGTATCAAATCCTCTCAAACGTGCTCAAGGAGAGAAAAGCCTTTGCAGAGTGGCTTCGCGAGGATGGTAATGAGGAAGGAGCCAAAGAAGTTGAAGGTCAGTTTACAAAACAGGATCGAGATTCGTCTTCTAACAACCCAAACTTTAGAAGCAGCAAGGCGTGCAGCAAATGAATTCGAGAAGCCAAGCGAGCAAGAACGAGAGGCTTGGAATAAGCAATGTGATGCACGTGGTGTTGAAGGGGCACGGAAGGGAGAGCATTGTCGTATTCTGAGGTTTAGTACATCAGATAAGCGACCAGGGAGACAAGAATGATCCTGGTCTATTACTAGGTGTGCTTTTATCACTATAACGCCTTAACAGGATATGAAGAGATATGTTTACTTCTGAAAAGCGCTGCAGATCGGATCATCTCGCATGTGTAGCTCCCAGCACCAAGTTGCGTTAGGTCGGTACGGGTTCTGTACAGTACATAATCCATAACATAGCTGCCTCAATCTGCAAGTGCTTGCAAACACGCACATTTCTGCTCACACAGTAACAGCGTTTGATCAGCATGAGCCAAATGATGAATTGTTAATTCAGTCTATGACTGGGCCTGATTAAGACTTGATTGAGTGCGATGGACTTTAGAGGCTTGTGTTTGTAAGGGGTCTAATGAGTATCCTAAAGGTTGGACACAGGACAGATGAGTTACATTACCTCGGACACCTTACTATAATTTCTTGACCATTCACTTCCAGTCACTATATGCAATTCGCAGTGATGGTTGTAGTAGCAATAACACGGGGTTCTGGACAAGGTTCCCAGTGACCGTGTGTTGCAGCTTTGCCCTGTTGCTAATCACGTTGAGCTGATAGTGTTTAAAAAAAAGAAGAAAAAACAGAGAAATGTATTGGTGCCCAAATCAGAGTGCTGACAGACCCAAATGCCTCAATCACATGCACAACAGTATGCATCGCTGGATCCTGAGACTTCGTGAATCATGTATCTATCTCCGAAACTCTCGCATAGATTTCCTTTACCAATTCAAGCCCTGCCCAATGTGATATCAGAAATGTGGAAACCGACCTCAACAGCCCCGCCAGCGGTCCAGGGACGTCGGGATGAGCCTAAAGAGACTGACCCGTCGGAGTCGTGGATGTCCCTGGATGCCCCGCCTCCGGTCCATGGACGATGCGACAGCTGGTGGGGCGGCGGTCTTGCGGAGTGATCAGATGTTGACCCATGCTTCAACAGGGTCACATCAGCAAGGGGGAAACTAAGTGGAGTTCGATGCACCCTTACTCGTGGAAGTACGCTAGTATTCTTGGAACTGCGGTGCCCATGATTTTGGGCGACCGGTGTTTACGTACGCTTTAATTCGCCAAAACTACCACGCCAAGACAAATATCACAGTCGAGAGATGTGTTAGTGCTGCACTCAATCAGGTCTGACGATCCACTCTTTGGGCGGGGCGCGGACTTCGGCAACGTGCTCCTTGACCAGGGTGTCGGCCACTCAAATCCTCTGTCTACACTAGTGACCCGCACAAAAAGCTCTGGAGGATCTTCAGCCCTGGAACGGGTTCGAGGCAATAGATCGGGAGGCAGGTGCGTGCAGCATCCTCGCCTTCTGGAGCTGGGAGAGCCTAGTGTCAGCGTTCTGCGTACAGATATGTCATAAATTTCATCTCGGGAAGTGAATGAGCTGCGAGATAATATGACCAAGCAAGGACCAAGTGCCGTCCGTGGTCTCGTACTTGCGCATGTCCTCACGGAAGCCGTCACCACTCCCTACTCATTCCTCATACGGACAGAAAATGTAACATTCACCATGCAGTTATTGGGATCGTCTCAACAGTCACTGGCGCCGTATGCTCTGCACGTGTCTAAAAAATGGCCCTTCAGAATCCCATCCTTATCATCAAACGTCCCTGAATGTGGCCGTAGTTTGAGGACCTGAGGAACATGAACTGTGGTAATGCATGGCCGTGTGTCAAGAATGTGGTGTCAGGGGTTCGGTGAGCTAATGCAACACCCTGGAAAGACGAGCCATAGTGAGATGGCTCCAGAAATGACGCTGTCGCTCGTTATGCAGACAGTCACATGCTAAACCTATTCAGGATGAAGTATTGAACAACTTTCAAGACTCCGTGCAGTTGCGCTCGGCCTTACTCATCAGCTACCATAAGAAGCGCTAAACCCATTGCACTCAATGGCCGCATTCACAGGCCAGATTGTGCCATAGCCGGCCGGCTGGCCAAAAGTCCGCTCGCTCTCATTGGCGGTACGGCATCTACCTCGTGCAGAGACCGGGGACTGGCTCCAGGTTAGGGTGTGGGCCGAGAGGCTGAGGACGAAATGGCACGATTTCAAGCACGACCAGGTCAGGGGTGTGTCACTTTCGAGGAGGGCACATGCCCCTGCCAGAGGGAGCACAAACCACTTGTGACCCGCGGTTCACAAGTGGTCTGTGCACATTTCAGCAATATACAGGCCCCATAGCAGGCGAGTCGGCGCCGATTTCCCGCATGGCAGCGGCTGTGGGATACGACCGTCAACGGTAATACGACTCTGATATCCGGGTTTAGACATTTGTCTCTAGGTTTGTTCGTGAAGCAGGCATGGCCAACACTGATAGCTTGGTACCAGGGCTGCTGGTGGTTTTTGCGTCCACGCCGTCTCCTGACTAATCGACAAAAGATCTCATGTACACCAAGCCAGTGCATGGCGGTCTTGGAGTCGAATGCCTCTGAAGATGACGAGACTCGCTTAAGAACTAAGCTTGTGCCATAGCAAATGAAAGAGGATGTTTACGACGCAGCGACAAGACGAAACCACGTAAGATCCAGTGCGTCACGCCGCCGACTATCTTTTCAGACAAGATGCTGCGGTTACGAGGAGGTCTAGTGATGAGAGCTTGCGGGCAAGAGGATATGTTCCGGTCCATTGAGTTTCGAGCCTATCACAACATTCGGAAGGCAAGGGCGTCAATATATACAGGTTCTCTGAGAAACTTGCTTGTGCAAGAGTGAATCCTTGTGCCACGGATTTAGACGCCCAGTTTCTCTCATCCTTTGGACGATTTCACCTTGAATCGTATTTACAGCAGCAAAAATTGTTGGTTTCCCAGCCCTTCGTGTGGTATGCGGCGAAGGCCTGCCTGGGGAGTCCTCGCCCCAATCACTGGAGTTGGAAGAACTTATCGGAACGGCGAGGTGGGTAGGCAGTGGAGGGTAGCGACAGCGTGAGAACAGAGGGTGTGCGCAAGACTCGTGACGGTGCTTTCGTCTCTGGGAGGCCTGAGTGGCTGGGAGCTGAAATCATTTCCGTGATTTACCAATCGGAGGATCCGCTCCCGTGGACTACACCAAGTCACTGAAGACCTTCTACATGCCCGAGGCGACCTGCAACTTGAATAATTCAGGCACGGGCGCTTCCATCTACTGTACCTTTTCATGAACACGTTCATACCGGGTCCTCCCCCTTTTGCCTGCCCCTGTGTATGGCTTAACCCTGGGGATGGCAAGTCACATCCGGGTCACAGGCCAAGCATGGGAGGATGGTCCATTTCTCTGTTGCATTCGAATTTCATTTTGATTCGGGCCGCACGACGAAATGTACGAGTGCCAGCAACAACTCGCATGCACGGACAAAATTGCTCATCGTTGGGTGGCTGCCTAGCTCGTGTCACCTCGACCCCGCATACCGAAACCATTCCTAAGCTCCTCCGCCACCCAATCACACGTTTCTTCTCCATCCCCCATTGCTCTTCAAATACGTCGTCCTGTGCCGTCTGTAGTGATACGCGGAAAATCTGTTCTCGAACTTGACCACATGTCTAGACTCATTGATTACGTGACCCTTTGCTGCAATCTCTTTCGCGTCTCGAATGCTTCTTTAGCTGAAGATAGGACTGGCGTGTGGCATGCTCAACGGTCTCCCTGACCCAACATTTTACACGATGGCCGAGCCTTGCAGGCAAGAGAAAGACAGGAATAAAAGCAGCATAGCCGATTGCCCATTTTTAGCACAAGTCATTTCTCTCAAGAGAGCACGGAAGCCCACAACAAGACAAAGTTTCAAATCCACGGAGTGCCGATTTGTGGTTCAGCCGCGGAGAGAATGGTTCCAGATGACCAAATATAAAAAATTCGCCTGTTTGTAGCATTCAAGCGGGGTGACAAAAATGACAAATTTCGCTGATCGTCGTTTCTATTAGTCAACGGATCTACATACCAGCCTGGCGACTACGTCTTCATCGCAAACGAGGAAACGCTCAAGAACCAGTATTCGTCTGCAAATGATAAGCAGCTCGGCCCCCATTTGAACTACAACAACAGCTGGGTCGCTCGAGTCGTTCAAATTCGTGCCAGAGACGAGTTCAATGTCTATGTCAGCGTTTGCTGGATGTACTGGCCAGATGAGGTGCCCCGGGGCACCAAGATCGGGAACAAGCTTATCCAAGGCCGTCAGCCCTACCATGGGCACAGCGAATTAATCGCGTCCAATCACAGCAAGTGTTGGGATACCATGATCATTCAACACATTGTTACTGACTATCAGCTGCAGTGGGTATCATTAATGTCAAATCGGTCATCCGTGAAGCAATCGTGACTCAAATAAGAGGAGAAAACGAGGAAGAAATTCAAACTGCGCTTTATTGGAGACAGACATTAGACATTTTTACCAAAAAGCTGTCAGTAAGTAATAATGGTAAAGAGAACGATGGAGTTTGGCCGATATTGACGAGCATGAAAGGCCATAAAGACGTTTTGCCATTGCAACCAACCTCAAAACCCTGATAAAATCATGATTCAGTGCCCCAGCGAGAAGTGCAACCGGTGGCTTCACGAGGAATGTTTGCGACATCAAATCCTGCTGAACATGTACACTGATCTGCAAACAGACGAGAAAACCCGAGTACTCGACACCGATTTGAGGTCGGCGGAACAGGAAACGAATAATCGCGATGTCGAAATGGATGGAGCTGGCAACTTCGTCGGGCATGACGACGGAGTTGAGCCTTACTTGTTTCCTTTTCCTCTACCAGACGGCGCCTCGCTGAGGCCACGAAATGGCTACCCATTGAAAGTGCCAATTTGTGCGGCTCGCGGAAGACGAAGGAAGAAAGTTGTCGAAAGCGTTAGAAAACCGTACGAAGGCCAGCTTCGGGCAGAGTTTAATGCAGAAGACGACGTGTTCGAGATCACATATTCACAGGGCGGCGATGAAGGCGAGAGGAGATGGAGGGTGGGGTTCAATTGCACTATATGTGGCACGCATATCCACTGATCAATGTAATCCCAATACTTGTTACGCCTCTTTGGCCACTCTATTTGAACGTGGTATCCACAGAAATTAAGCTCTTACTCTACATGGACACAAACGGAAATCGTCACGAGTGGTCTAGTGGTTGCATACTAATATTGAAAGTGTAAGGTCTACTACTATTCTCATGCACTGCTTCTGATTGCTAAATAATTCCGACAGAAAACGATAACAGTGATGCCTGGAATACATTTCCGCATGAGATCGGAAGCGCATGTGAGCTGGCAGCTACGAGCTGAGGTATTTGAGGGAAGACTCATCGTGAACTCCGCACCAAATAGCTAAGTGCCATTACTTTTTAAGATGATGCTGGGCGTCGAGATGAGGAGGGGAGGAGAGAGTCAAGAGGGATCTGGGATGCTATGGCGCCGCTCCTGCTCGAAGTCAGGTTTGGATACCGGCCCTGACTGGGGAACCGGCCACAGGTACAAGAAGACTGGGAGAACTCGGCCCCACCTGGCGATGTCCCATATCCCAAGGCGGAAAGGATACGGACGGGTGAGGCCATACCCGAGAAAGACTCGCAGTCCGCGTGGCCTATTTTAAATCCTCTTTGAAACCACTAGTGCCAGCTATATTTCCCGTGAACATCAAGTATAACAATGAGAAGAAACTGGTGCCCAGGTAGCCTCATTCCAACAAATGGTCCAAATTCAGGTGTAAGAGATTGGTATTGTATCTTACAATGTCTCTGAGTACAGCGGGATGCACAAATGCGTGCAGTAGAAGAGACATCCCAGCACTCGGTAGGCCTGCGAAATGTCTCACTTGCCAAATCATAAAACGCAGCAGGACTTCATAATGCCAAGCCAAACGGCGAGTCCGCTGCCGCAAAGTCTGACTATGAGGTGCGGAAGGCTCACAGCTTGTCCCAGAAATTGAAAATCCGAAGACTTCAGCGAGCCATCAGGGAATTTCACAATTCCGTGCATGTCGAGGAGATCGAAAGGCAGCTGAAAGGAATCAAGCCGCCAGATGTGATCGTGCCACCTACTATTCAATATGATCTTACCGAGAGGGCCCGCCTGGCGCGGCTTCTCTCACACGCTGCGGATTTCAAGAACATGGACGAATTGCAGGACATTCGGACTCTTCTGATTCGTGCGTGGGTCACTGGCTCTTGGTCGTTGTGGACTCCGAAGGCGCCCGGATATGGGATTCGATGCCGGCTGAGAAACATACATAGGCTGCATCGAAAATTCTTTCTTACTATCAGACTGACATACGGGCGACGATGAGACAGATGGAGTGTCCCCGCATAGAAAGCCTCAACTCAGGGATTACTGTTCTCGCCAATGCTGTTTGCGTCGTTGCAGCGAAACTCGGAACCGATATCCAGCTGCCTGAGATATTAGATTGCTCTTTGTGGAGGGATACCGTCAAGTTTATGTTAAGATTCAGTATGGGCCAAACACAGCCCCTCCGCTGGGGAATCGAATTCGACAATGACAAGGTTCTTCTGGAGGGCACACCCTCCGATGGAAGAGATGAGTGGGCACTCCTATGCAGCAACAGGCCAATATCCATCAGCTATGAGGCCGCCAGTCAGACAGTACAATACCTACAGCAGCGTCTGGACGCAGCGGCAGCGGAGAAGAACGAGCGGAAAGCTCAGATCTTGAGGTCAGGGGCTTGCATACGCGATATTCTGTATTGCTTGACTACCTTGACCTCATCCATCAGGGGCCAACTAGAAGGGTTCCAAGATGACAGTGACAACTTAGAAAAAGGCCTGTACATGCTCATGAAAGCGAATGAGTATTTCCTAAAAGTGTCTCCGTCCGCGATTGGGAAGTATCCGGCTACAGGGTCTTTACAATCAGAGATCCGACATCGGCTACAAGAATCGGTGGTTCGACGAGCTCGAGGTGAAATGATGGTGATGTCACTTTTTATCACTCTCAAGGCGGTGAGACAAGCTGTCGAGGTGCTTCAATCCCGAAAATAACCTGTTTTTCGTCGCATGGAAGACATGCGGTTATCATCAGCACTGGAAACAGGAAGACACTGCAATCTTCTGCAAATGTACCTAAAAGGACTCTCTGGTCTCATATCCCACGTTGTCGGCATCCTAACGTGGTTTCCTGTGATTAAGTCACTTCTGTCTGATATTATTTAACACCCACAGCACCTGAGCTGTGCAGCACGACGTCTCCGTCTTTGTACAGACGCTGATGTTTTCCGGCCAGAGAATTGGCTCGAGGCCTACGGGAAGGCGAGGAGCCTGATGCGCAAGCAGACGGATCTCGTCTTCGGTGCGGGAATATGGGGCTCCCCTGGGAGGAAAGTCAGTTTGATCGAATTGAAGAAGGTGATTGTGGAGGCGAGCCGGAGACACTTGCTTCTAGGGGATGAAATATTCACATAGCCACACCAAATGCCCCATGAAAGATGGACATGCCCAGAATGACTTTAGCAACCACAACCTATTTTTCGGCTGATGACCGAGCCCCGAGACCGCGAGCTACTCAGCTTCGAAACAATAATAACACCTTTACCGCCTTATTTTGTGCTCTTTGCCTCTCCCGAAAATTCCTTGCACCTCAGACGCCCACCCTCTCAGTCGTTGAAAATGCTCATCGATTTCATTACAGAACCTCGTCTTATCTACTTCCAGTCTGCAAGGCCTTTGTCAGTATCTGGGCTCCGCCTTAGATGGAGCAATACTCACTCGGTCCGAAGACTGCTTGTCGTTTCCTCAAGGTTGCTGAGCCTTGCAGTTGATTTTCTCCTCCGGACGACCAACATTTTTTGTTGAAGACAAGCATTAGAAGAATCATGCCCTATTTCGACCACAGGTTGACTTCCAATCGCTTTCTCTCCGCACGGTCCTCGACGGGGCGTTTCAAGATTGGGTCCTAGTGTTGAGGACTGGTGCTTGGGGGCTGGATTGGCAGGAGTCGGAATTGCCCATTCTATCCAGAGAACAGTTGGGGATCAAAGATTCGGGGAAACTTTCATTCTGAAGCCCCCAAGCGGTGATTTGATCGTCATGAAAAGAGGATTTAAAGGTATCGTCCAGGTTCAGATAGTACTGGTCCTGGAGGGCTACAGTGATTCTATCTGCATTATGCGGACTTGAGTTATGAGCCATGATTGAGGTTGTTGAGTTGAATGCTGATCTGGTAAACCTAGGGCCAAAGCGTGCCTGGCTCATCTACGTCAGAGTCATGACCTGCTGCTTATATGCACTGTTTCTGCTTATGCAATGCGTGAAGCAAGTATGGTGAACCACTAGAAGTCCCTGAACCCAGGAAATATGTTATTCCTGGTACGGAATCGAGGCTATGATGGCCTCAGTATGACTGATGAGGCCTGATATTGGTACCTCGGGATATCGCCGCTTTGGCTGTGCACATAGCCACGTCCAGGACTGAATTAATCCAGGACTCAATTGTTCTACTTTCCGATGATGCTAGGTTTAATTGACAGCTAGACCTTGACGCTAATTGCATTTTATCTCAGCTGGCTTCAGACTATACGACCAGGGTCCCGCATGAAGTGTGATAAATACACAGAACTGCGGGAAGTTGACGCCCGAATTTTATTTTTCGGCTGCGGTGCGAGAATCGTTTTCAAGGTTCTGGCTCAGACACCCCCAAGGCGTGGATTTGGTACATAAATGATCTGATCTCGCCTACTGTCGATTTGGACTAGCATTTGCCTCAATATTAAAAGAACCGCCTTGTCCCTCAAAATGAGGATTGTTACCGCATGTTTGATTTCTTCCACAAGGTACATGCTTGCCGCATTTCTCTTCTGGTGATATGCTAGCTCCTGTCTTAGACGGCCGTTTTCCCATGTGCTCCGCTCGATGATCTTTTTGAGGCTAGGGTTCGGCAGGTTCTCAACTCCCTGCAGCTCGTCTTCTTTTTCACCGACTGATAAAGGGGTTATGTGGTTACGCGCGACTGAATCTGCGCGAAGATCCTGATTGTCATCGAATACTTGGCCTTGGCCGCTTGTCTCGAGGCATTGCTGAGCATCCTTGTGGGAGCCGAAGTAGCACCTTGATCTCACAAGTTCTGGGAAGGGAATTTTCTTTTATCCCCCAGGCTAAAAATGAGATTTGTTTTACTGAAATATTATGATTGCTAAAGGTGGCCGCTGAACCCCGATTCAGGGCATGAAAATAGTCTCCAAATGGGTCTCCTATGCCCCGAACAAGGCCCACGCCTTTCGGTCCTTCAACAGTCGATGGGCATGACGATCCGAGACTTAAACGTAGCGATCTCAAGAATGCTATAGTAATACGGATAAAGTCTTTTTTAAACAAACAAGCTTTATCTGGTCACTTCTAGATACAATCTTAGGCCTCTGTCCACCAGCGATAGCGTTGGAATGTTCTACAGTACTCTGAACCTTTTTCTAATGCTCTTGGTGCAGTCAAGTAGCTAAAATTCTCATTATATTGGGTAAATACTGTATACGAACGTGGATCGTCTGTATTTTGTAACAATAAAATGCTTTCTTTGTTTATAATAGATCAGCCGCTTGCTAGGTGGCGCGCATTATCCAAGCATGCGAGAAAACGACGCAGTTCCTCGCTTCCTTTTTGGGATGTGCATCCATCACCTGGTAATAAAGCGCTCCCTTTCCTGCGGCCCCCGGAACAGCAGTTGCCTGCACCTTCGCTAGCGTTACAAGAGAGAAGACTCCGGGCAGAAGTGAGGGCTGACCTGGCCAAGAAACCGCCAAGACGGATAAGCTGGTAAGAAGAACAAATCAACAGGCTTCAGGTGGACAACAGGGATCTGCGCATGACCATTCTCAAGCAGAGAAGAGGTTGCCGTGGGGAGAGACAATTTGATCACGGCCTTGAGGGAACAATATTCCAAGTTAAAACGTGAGATCGACCAGCAGAGACAAATCACAATACTCGCCAGCAGAGTTGCCACTGCTGTTCAAGAATTCAACCAGGCGGCTCCGCAGTTACGGAGCAATGTCGCGGATGTCAAGGCCGATCATGATGTTGAATGCGGGGAAGGCAACACGCACGAGATTAGCAAGGAGGTGCATTGTAAGATTAGCGATATCGTGGAGGTGTATAGCCAGATATAGGTGCGTATATGCACCTTACTTCCGGTTGTATGCGATCACCCAGTGAGATTTTGCACAAGCCAAATATTATTAGTAGCAATAGGTATAATTTAAGATGATTTTAAAACGTGCCTCTGAGCAAAGCTGCAACGCTTCTCGCGAATATGCGAATATTCACAAGTAGTATAAGTTTAACCCGTTTCCTTGAGGACCTGCGTACCACGGATCCACCCCACGACGGCCTGCGCGATGCAGATTCACATCTAGCATATGAGAAGCGGCATGAACAACTATCTTGGGCCGCGCCCGGCAGCATTCTCGCCGCGATATCACAGCTATGGGCTCTACTCGAGCAACGCCGGAACCGCTGATGTGTATGCAACGCGACCATCGTGGAAACAATCATTTTCTGGGACGATGCTCCCTAGTGATGCACTGGTGGTTCTTGTGGTAATAGGCAGCAAAACACTCTTTGATCATAAGTCAAGGAGGGGTTTGAAGTTTTGTGATGATGAAGGCATATCAGGAGCAGGAGCTACGATGAAGCAACCACACTGGTTCCGTTAAACTCAGATGCTCCACCCATTCTGACCATGATATTAGGGTCCTCCAAAATCGAAGGTCGCTCTTCCGCTTCCACAATCAAATGGTCGACCAAGCATGGATAGTGTGGGTGAATATGCGTGGTGCGAACCACCATTCTCCTTGAGTCTTCGCAAAAGTTGCTGCACACCAGCCGATGAACTTTTGGACTCTTCAAGTACATAACAGACACTTCCAGTTTCCCATCTTCCCTTGATTTTACCAGTCTTTGACGGAAATTTGAAACAGGAGAATAATGGCCAAATTCAGCATTCCATATATTATAGACTGTGCCATCCTTTACGGTAAACTCCCCAGAAGCATTATTCCAATCGCCTGGCTGGAGGCTGTTCAGGATGGTCTTCTCAGCTCGTAATCCGTGCTTGAGCTGTCCTGTTTTGTCGAGGTCGGCCAAGACAAGATATCGGGGCGCGTCGAAGTCCTTTGCCACAAGCATTGGGTTTGCTCCGAAAGCAAGAGCAGCCAGAAACCATTCGTCGTTTTTTATCAGACTGGTCCATTGTTTTGCTTGCTTTATCTGAGCCGCTGTTCCTGGTACGATTCCTGCGGCGGCCGCATCAAGAAATGCGTAAGGAGGGAGGTGCTGCCCAATCTCGATTTGGATATCGTTTGGAAGGCCGGAAAGTGCCCCAAGAGAACCGGCCCGAACCATATCCGCGGCCTTCTTACAGCCCGTGTCAAACAGATCTGAGATGTCAAGATAGTTTGCCGCACGTAGTATGTCGAACAGCGTATCTGCCTCGACGCGCATGAACTCTGTATCCCACTTCTGAATTCGTTGCCCCTCGTCAAAATTGGTGTAGAAGCCGCCTTTGGTCCTCAGTTTGTTGTTGGCATGATATTTGCACCACCACAATATCATTGAGAGTGTAGCTGCACGGATGGGAAGTCTTGGTATCCCTTCTCTTCTCACTACATCTTTCCCAAAAGTTTTAATCATATCCTGGAGCACCCCTGAGCTCTGGCAAATATAGGCTTCCTCATCAATGACGAGCTTGCCATCGCATGCTTCCAGGGTTATGTTGTTACGAGACATGATAACACGGCTGAAGCTCTGGCTCGAATTATGAGGTCAAGAATGAATTTGATAGTTTATGATTGTGAAGAGCAGGCGGATTTCATGAGAAACAAGCAGCAATCTTGGAGCATTTGATGATTTCACACAATATAAATAAGTGAATCCAGTGCCTAGATTTGGGGTTGCGCTCATTATCGTCATCGTCTCATTCAAGGCCCGAAGGCCGTGGGCTTTTTACGAGCACAGGAGTCCTCTAACAGACACATGCTGCTTTTTTGTGTTTGACAATGCCTCTTTTAACCAAATATCTTCAATAGTCGCTAAAGGGTCTGTACAAGAATCAGATTTCATGCCCAGATCTGGTCCAGCTGAAATTCGTGAAAGCGCCGAAATCCAGGACAATGTATAGGTATCAGTCGTGTACAAGGCCCAGAGATAGTTTGAGCTTCCTGACCACCAAAATGGGAGTCAATCATGATCCTCATCTTAGTTGCACATCTG